ATCTCTGCTGATGTCGTTGTAGCTGTCACCGGTCGTTTCTTGTGGCGTACGTCGGGGATGATGATCAGCTGATCATCGTAGAGGTCCAGGTCATCGGCTGGAACAATCTCGGTTGAGAAAGTCCTAGTAGACTTCGTTGATTTTCCCTCAGAGGTCGACGCTGCCCTGGGTGTGCGACGTCTGCGTTGAGTGTTGGTAATGATGGGACCCTCAGGACGATCATCGCATATCTGCGTTGGTACATCAGGCTGCATGCTGATCTGTGCCGACATCGGTCAATCTTTGATGTACATCCGGTATGATGACCGGCTGATCATCATACAGGCCCAAAACTTCGATGGGAACGGTCTCGGTTGTTGAGATGTAGTAGAAAAACCCTCTAGTCTTCTGCTGCGACGATGGGATGTCTGGGGAAGCAGGATGCTTCTTGGAGATGGCGGACTACGTCCCACACCTCTCCACCACTCTAGCGGAACACCACACGGGAGGGGAGTCGGCCAACAGCAGTAGACTGGCGAGGGGTTCCGGTGTATCAGTCATACTAGACTCTGCATACGCGACCTATCTGCTGTGCGTGCCAAACGCAAAGTAAATATTAATAAAAAGGTAGAATTGGATAAATTAGTACCGCAACTGCAATGTGAATATAATAAACATGGCGCCGTACATCATATTAAAGGCGGATCAGCAGCAGCATAAAAAACGTAATCTGCAATAGTACAGAATTTTCATCAACGTAATCCACTGAAACAAACACGGCGTCCCGTGACTAAACTGTAGAAAAACGACTAAATATCAATATATAATCGTTGAAGGATACTAGCTAAACCTCTATAGATGTCTATACGAGGTAACTAACTAAATATAATTCAAAGGATATAGTGTGTCGGGAGACACAGGCGCTCTCACGTCCAGCTCACTGGGCGAAGAAGGAGAGAGTGAGGCACATGGGTAGAGGTGGCGCCCTCGTTCCCGCGCTTGTGGAAAGGAGGTAACTCGTGGTGAATACTAATTAGTGATTTTAAATTGAAGGGAGCTTCAATTAGGGAGATACAAGTGTTCCACTATGTTCGCAAGAAGAAGAAGACAAGCAAAAAGAGCATGAGTCAGGATAAGGAAAAATACATGGAAACGCCAATATAAACATAATTAATATGAACTGCCACTTGGCATAGCCCACATGGTCGCTGAAAGAGAGTGAGTGCAGAGTGTCATTTATCGGAACTTTTCCCTTTTCTCTCTTAAATAATCAAATTCTAATCAAATCAAATCATCATGCAGAGCTGACATGCGTGCACTGTAAATATGTTTTGAGCTAAAATCCAGAAAATCCACCTGTAACTAAATTAATATCGGTCGTTTCGATGGAAATGAAGAAAGAGCTAAATTTCAATAGTTACCATCAAAGTAAATGATGTAAGCTGACAATTTTTGTGATATTTTTACAGAAAGAGCTGTTTTGAAGTTTTACTTGCAGACTGTTAAGAATGAGGCTATATCCATAGATCGTGAAACATATGTACAAGGACATGGTCAGGGTCATCCCAAAATATGACATGCATTAGAGGTGGGTAATAATTAGTGCACAAAAATAGTGGATGGAACAAAGATCTGGTCCCTAAGTATCATTAGGATGGAAACATCAACGGAATGAGTGAATGTTGTTTTAAACCAGTAATACTCCAGTTACATCTACGGGCAAGACCGGGAAACAAGGATGATATCAAGATGATAAATGACACACAACAAGCCAACTTTATCACTGAAACTGCTTGTACAAACTCCAGGAGGGGGGACCTATTCCGCTCTGCAATCCCTTGAACATGAACAGCTTGTACAAACTCCAGGAGGGGGACCTATTCTGTTCTGTAATCCCTTGAACAAGACCAGCATGTACAAACTCCAGGAGGGGGACCTATTCCGCTCTGCAATCCCTTGAACATGAACAGCTTGTACAAACTCCAGGAGGGGGTTGAACAGCTTGTACAAACTATTCCATGTTAAACTCTTGTACAAACTCCAGGAGGGGAGGGACTTACTCCGCTCTGCAATCCCTTGAACATGAACAGCTTGTACAAACTCCAGGAGGGGGACCTATTCCGTTCTGTAATCCCTTGAACATGAACAGCTTGTACAAACTCCAGGAGGGGGACCTATTCCGCTCTGCAATCCCTTGAACATGAACAGCTTGTACAAACTCCAGGAGGGGAACCTATTCTAATCCCTCGAACCTAAACAGCCCTTGATGCTGTTTTCAGTCAACAGACAGAGTCAAAATGTGAGAGACAGAAGCATTTCATTGTACATCTCCAGACAACCTTGCAGCAGGGAATATCTGAGATGTTAAACTGGCACTAGGCTGTATATACACAGAATATCAATTTAAGTAAGTATCTGGCTTTTTTGCTCATTGATACAGTGAGTGAGTTGGGTTTTATGTCGCTTTTAACAATACTCCAGCAATATCATGGTGGGGACACAAGAAATGGGCTTCATGCATTGTACCCATGTAGGGAATTGAACCAAGGCCTTCAGCATGATGAGCAAGCGCTTTACCTACCAAGCTACCTGAATGCCCCCACTGATACAGGTGAAGGTGACAATGAAAGTATCTCCTGGACAACAGGTCTTATTGTTTTATATTCTTTTAAATATGAATATTACTTAGCATATATATAAACTACCAAATACAAGGAGAATACAGGGCTTTAGCTGGGATTTTCCAATTGACTTCAGAAAATCCTTACTCTATTCAAAATTCAACAGGTCATTAACATGGGTGACAACTGAAAGCATATTTTAAGACACTACTGAGGTATAACTGCATAGATGTACTAACTGCAATGGTGTAGATTTCCATGTACTATTCTACATGACAGCATTACATATCTTGATGGCCACGCCCATCACATCTCTGTGATCTCCTACATCCTGGGCTGATTCTATTTATTACCTACTGATATACATTTATAATATTATCAGAATAGAGACCCATATTCTCTATTATGTCTATGAATGCTAATATTTATGAATATTATCTGAAAAGAGGCCCATGTGCACTTGAAGTACAGTTTATTTTTCATTCTACAATGTCTACTGGTATGTTCAGTTGTGTACTGCAGTGCTGATGTAAACTGTTGGTAAATTAAGTTGTTATGTCTCAGCTTTCTGCCATAAGGCCACTGACAAATGCAAATACACCACAAGAATTTTTGGTCACATTCAATACAACAATGAGAAACTAAAATACGTAGCATTTTTCTCTGAAAATATAACATTCTAAAGCAAAGAGATTGCTCTGTTTAATAACCTGAATTGGACATTTCTTTCCAAATAGGAACATTTGAGCAACATTTGCTGTAGATATTCAGATAAATCCCTGCTTTACAGTGATTTCATTCAATAACAAACCCTCTGCAATTTTTGCCTGCCACGTGCCAAAGGACAAGTAGCAAGTCAACAACCCCTGTAATACATGATGAAAGATAGAAAAAGAACAAACATACAAAGCTTAGAGCAATGGGTATACAAAGATGACAACTGATGCTATTGAACACTCACATTCATATAATAGACACATATAAATTTTCTTTTGTGTTTCATGAACTAAAGACAATTGAAATCTCCTTAAATAATTGACCCGTGAAGATCCGGGGTAGAATAGGTCTTCAGCAACCCATGCTTGCCACAAAAGGCGACTATGCTTGTCGTAAGAGGCGACTAACGGGATCGGATGGTCAGGCTCGCTGACTTGGTTGACACATGTCATCAGTTCCCAATTGTGCAGATCGATGCTCATGCTGTTGATCACTGGATTGTCTGGTCCAGACTCGATTATTTACAGACCGCCGCCATATAGCTGGAATATTGCTGAGTGTGGCGTAAAACTCAACTCACTCACTCACCTTAAATAATTAAGTTCCATGTGTGAGAGAATTGTTTATGGTTAGTACAAACTGTGTAAAGGAGTAAAGATAAATCAATCCACTAGCAGTGCAATACAAAGCAAAGAGTTTGTGATACAATTCTTGTATTTCTTTACAGTCGTTATCAAGGCATGAGATTACAATGAAGTGCGCATCTCAGCATACTTGCAAAATCAGTGAAGGGAAATTCAAATTCATCTGGACTTGAGTCATCAGAACCTAGTTGGGCTGGTTACATCACAAAGGAAAGTATTTCATGTATATATGTGTGTAAACATAGTTGGTTTGGTCAGTAAGACTAAAATAGGCACCTAGAAATGACATAAAAAATAAAGCTGAAATAAAAATCCTGAAGCAAATGAAGCACAAAAATTTAAAATAAAACAAAATTGCTAGAACTATGACTTGTTTGTTATTACCCGGCAGAAAACAAGGGTAGTCTTCAGTACGACACACTTCAACACAATCAAATTACATCAAATTACAAAAACAGAAGTAATCAAAGAAATCAAACAACATTTATTTCATCATGACAATTGTATATCTTGTATTCAGGAGTTTGAAGAGCCACAGATCCCTACAAAGGGTCCAAGTTTAGTCTAAAGGCCAGTTAATCTTCTTTTAACCCTATATTGCTTCATCTTTAACAAAATCTTTTAAACACATTGATCAAAAGGAGATTTCAATTGAGAAAAAGGACAACTGTCATGACTGGTATAGCTACCAGATAAGAAATTGTTTTAACACAACACAGAGGCATAACAACAAAACAACTATATATATATACAATTTTTGGTAGAATTTTCACTTTCCTGATATCAACAAAATCAGACAAGTCAGACCTGTCTAAAACGTTGCATGAATGAAACTTCGGTTATCTGTTCAGTGACAAAAGGAATCCAAAGAGAAAACTGAGATTAGAAAACCATTTGGAGCATGCATACTTGCAATACATGCAATAAACACACAAATCAACACTACAGCAAGACACACTCATACAGGGTAAAATGCCTGAATTGTTGGTACCAGTATATCTGATGTACTGTAGACGAAGGATATCAATTAAATTCCTACCTGCTTTTGCTTCCTTGTACACAAGACACACTTTGCTGTAGCCATCACAGGAGTCGAGTTCATAGAGCCGATTACGTCCAGTGAAGGTGGGCTTCTCAATGCCTGTAAAAACAATACTAATTGGTGATAAGAACTGGTTGGGATCTACTCATCAGTTCTTATTGGTTAGGAAAGTGGGTTTTTTTGGTGGGGACAGATTTTGATAAAGAAATATGTGATTAGCAGGATAAAATGAAATAATGTATAAAATGGATGGCACAGAATGTTTTTGAGCACCTTGAGTATGATTTGAATTGGCAAGACAAACAACATTATCTTTGTCAGAAAAGAAATAAGTTTCAGTCATATACAAATCCCTTGAGATATTTTTATTATAAAAAGCTCTCTTTGCCATTGTCAGTATGAAAAAATAATTCTAACTGGATTATATTGTTTAGTTTCTGTTGTTCAGGTCCGAAGATCTTACATATTACATATGAGTAAAATGACACTCAATGTGTAACTCAAACATTTCTGTTTCATGACTTATATATATAAGTACATAAAGTCAGCTGACTAAAACATATTTTATCAAACATGCACAGAAACTCCTTTCTAATAATCATAATAAGTGTGTGTTTAGCAGGTTCTGACCTGAGATGGGATCATCGTTGTCAGAGTCTGTGTCCAGGTCGGCCAGGGAGGGTTGAATGTGTGTCAGTTTGTCACTACTGACATCAAGACGGTTGAGCTGCTCCACCCCATTGATGTGCATCTTCCCTACAGGGAGCGTCTGGTCTATAATGCAACAATGTGTCACAAACAGAGAAACATCCCTGATCACATGTCCGGTTGCATTCTCTTCCCACAGAGGTTACTTATCATATCTTCCTACGAACCTCTGTTCTAATACATCCCGTTCATGGTGCCAGTGTTCAGGATTCGTGATTGGTTGCAATCAGATTTAGTTGTGCAGTCAGCGACGTTGTTTCAAATGTGATCAATTGCAAGGCCTCGGTAATTTCCGTATGCTTCGGGAAAACTAGAACCTCTTCTCCTGCGCGATGCGCAAACGTTTCTTCTAGACAGAACTCAGTCGTGAAATGGTGGATCAATGGCGTCTCCATCACCCTCATTGACAACGGACAAGCTAGCCATTAAATGTCTTGTGTGTCACATTAACATATGTCCCCGGCAGAGGAGGGATATTTGTGGCCCCATATTTACTTGCATTAGTCAATTTGGATCTAAGTCGATGTAACACGTGTTCTGATTGGATAGAAAGAAGGGAGATAATTTGTGTTGCGATTTTTTGCCGCTAGGGGATTTTACGAGAACCAGGAAATATGGCTGTATTAGAACAGAGGTTCGTAGGAAGATATGACAAGGAACCTCTGTGGGAAGAGAATGGTCCAGCTGGTACCAAAGACATTTCTTACACTTGACAAATACACAGTCTGAGTGTACAAGGATGGCATTCTTTAGCCCTTTAAAAGTCATGCATCATTCTCAAATTAGAATCATACATGTTTGGTAACCATAATCCTAATATATCTTCTGACAAGTGCCAAAACGTTCAGATTTGTTGTTTCTCTTTAAATGCCCAATGGTACGTATACTTGTGAAAAGGAAAGTTCAAATAACACATATCAGTGTAAGCAGAACTTACTGTCCAGTTTCACAGACCATGTGAAGTGAAAACCATTTGACGTCAGGTAGAAACTTTTTAAATCCTCAGGTAAAAGACAGCAGTTTCTCTGAAAAATGATAGTCATGAAACAGTTATATATACTACACAAAGAACTTAAGGACCACCAAATTCTTTCATAGTTATCTACTTATCATTGCTTATAGTGTCAGTGAGTGAGTTTAGTTATACGCCACACTCAGCAATATTCTAGCTATATGGCAGCGGTCTGTAAATAATCGAGTCTGGACCAGACATTCCAGTGATCAACAGCATGAGCATTGATCTGTGCAACTGGGAACTGATGACAAGTGTATACCAAGTCAGCGAGCCTGACCACCCGATCCCGTCAGTAGCCTCTTACGACAAGCATGGGTTACTGAGGAGCAATATTCTAACCCGGACCTTCACTGGTTACTTATAGTGTGACATCACAGGGGAAAAGCAATGTAATGAATTAATACCATGATGAATGGTCATCCAAACTGAACCACATCTCATACATTTAGTTGTACATAATTACAAAGTGTGTGTGTTATCCTATTTTCCCCCATCGTTATCAAATGACTTTGACTTTGAATTGTATTTTTATAATACTTATCCTAAACAATAAAAATGTCTTGTTAACTCCCCTCTTTCAGACAGGCAGTAAATAAATTAAACAAACTTTTTAACATGTTCAAAGCAGAATATTTCTTTGTTGTAAGAGCTCATAATAACATTCAGCACATGGTTTCCTTTCATGATTTCATGTATAATTTTACACAAACTGTGCCAGCTATCCCTTGAAAAAAGGGGTGGAAAAGGAAAAGAATTCCTAAACAGATGCAAATTGAAACTTATTGTTACAAGCTGTGGCAGTGCTGTCTGCACTACTGCCTCACAAACCTGAGTCAGCTTGTCCAGTCACAAATATTTCCTGTGGGCTAGTAGCAGAGTTTAGGGTTATCGTCATATGTTTACTATATAGGTGGGATGATTTAGTAATTGCAACTTGTTAGCTTGTAATTATAACAGACTGTAACTGTGTGAGGTGTCATTCAAGACCTTTGGTTTTCAGGTCCAATATATTATATGAAATTACCTGTTCCCATGTCAATACTGCATGGCGATCTGCTGGGACTCTTTCATCAAGGGTGATCTTACATACTCCAGTTTTTTTCTCTGAAAATATATATAATCAAATTCAATTCCTTTGCCAAGCCTTTGAAAATTCTTGCTTCTTGCAAGCAGAAATGAGAAAACTTAACTGTCATAACCATTCTTTCATCAGCTTATCTAGGAAGTTGGAGGCCACTTTGTTCAACAAGATGGTTTCACCTTGACTGCACTTTACTGAGAATATTTGAGTTTCCCAATAGCACCCAAACACTTATTCTAACTACCAAGTAGTCAAGACATGGTAGGACTGCATCGCAGCTCTCGGCTAACTACCAAGTAACCCATAGGAAGGTGTGTACAAGCCTTAGGATTGTGACTGTTTGGGGATGTTTGAGCAGACAGGCGCTTAAACAGAACATTGATTTCAACTATGAAAGCGACTCCTGGAGCCAATATAGCTGGTACAAGCAAATGCAGTTTGGGGCCTTTTCTTTCAATGTCAGTGTGGTATGTTTTGCACCATGGATAGTCTATATGAAACAATTATCAGTTTATCTTCAGTAAATAATGAAATATTATCACGGAGTAAATTAGTTCAGCCAGCTAAACGTCTTGTTCATATATAAAGTTCTTTCATAGTGGTATTATGCCAGGAGTTTACAGCTTGACAAAAAGACGTCCAAGGGATAACACATTTCTTCTATATGTTCATTGATATATGTACCATTATATCGTATAACATTAAGGTATTTCAAGTGCAAACCTAGATATTTTTCTATTCCTATGTTCATTTGTTCGAATGAAACAGCTGAAAAATCAACGTCCTCCATTTCTGTCCCTGTTAGTCCGAGAATACGAATGTCACCGTTCCCAAAGCATTATTTGGCAGCCATCTTGTAACTTAGGACGCACCTGTTTGGAGAGTCTTACAAGGGAGGTAACTGCTACGATCGTTCACATTCGTGACCAACTCGTGTTATTCCGGGACAAGCCGAATATATATCGCGATTTTCATCCTTTTTTGTATGGGTTGATTTAGTGGCAAAAATATATGTTAATTTTCTTTTGTGAAGGATATTTCATTTATGCACACAAAAAGTAAATTGTTTGCAATGGCCTCGATGTATTTAACTTTTTTGAAATCATTATGTGATAAGTTAACAGTAGTTTATCTAATAATATTTACTTTAGTTTGCAGTTGTGTCTTTTAATATTGTTAATTCCTAAAATACAATAACATGGAGTGGTCGGCTTAGGGACCGTTCATAATTTATGGCTTGGGGTTGGGGGTTCGGGGCTGGTGATAGGTGGGTGGTGGTTCACCCATTTTGTTCGGGGAAGCAATTTTGTACACATGTACTGTGTGTGTGTGTTGGGGGCAGCGATTTTGTACATTAAAATATTGTCAAATACTGCTTAGAAACTATGGGAAGGCGAGGAGGGGGGTATTGATTTTGTACATGATATGCAAAGGAGAGGGGGGGTCACTTACTTTGTACGTAAATATTAGCGGGGGCATTCACATTGTACATGTTTTTGTATACAAATCATCATTCCCCCCTTCCCCTTGCCATAAATTATGAACGGTCGCTTTTTTTTCCTGATTATGGCCATTTGCTCCAACCGTTCGTAAGCATTGAGGTGCAAAGTCAAACTAATCCCTTCCATTTTCAAATACACAAATGGGTGAAACTGTACACCGCAATACTCCACATATTTTTATGCACATAACTTGTTATTTTCACATTTTAGATACAGTTAGATCGTTAAGTACGTTAATTAGTACATCGTGTTAATGTACAACTTCCATTAGCGACATAGCAGCTGTTGTATCTTGCTGCCAGACGGAATATTGATAATTGGTTCATACTAACAGATAATGGTGTCGATAATAACCCGTGAAGATCCGAGTTCAGCAACCCATGCTTGTCGTGAGAGCCGACTAACGGGATTGGGTGGTCAGGCTCGCTGACTGGGTTGACACATGTCATCATATCACAGTTGCGAAGACTGATGCTCATGCTGTTGATCACTGGATTGCCTGGTCCAGTCTCGATTATTGTACAGACCGCCACCATATAGCTTGAATATTGCTTGGTGCGGCGTTAAACAAAACCAAACAAACACACAAACAAACGTGCGTTTGTGTATGGCATGGTACTGTTATATGAATGGTAGCATTTGTTGACCTTGTCCTAGCGTAGGTTCAGGTTTCTCGTTCAAGTTCGACCCAGTTCAGTCCGTATTCGGACATTGTAAAGACGAACCCGAAGTGTAAATGATAATTATATGTGATTAAGGTGCAATCACTTACTGCCCATCCACCCAAACTGTTCTAGCATCGTACATATAAAGTAGAACATGCATGTCTGTAATCTTCATGGTTCTTCGTTAACTGTTGCTAACACATCACGTAAAAAGGACACTAGTCACGAGCTGTATACACGAGCACCGTACGTTATAGAGCTACGATGTCTCAATGTTAGAATATTGGAATTACTATCATTGCTGCGCTAAGATCGCTTTGTGCAAGTGGGCCCAGCAGTATACAGTAACAGGTGCAGGTAAACGTGTCCAGCTGTATAGGTGCCCAGCAACAAGTAGGTAGAGGTGTCCAACTGTATATTGGTAGATAGGGTCCGTAGGTAGAGGTGTCCAGCTGTGTATTGGGGCACTAGTAACGGTGTCCAGCTGTAGACTGCAAGGCTGTAGGTGAGGTGCCCAGCTATATGCAGCAAGTAGGTAGAGGTGTCCAGCTGTGTATTGGGGCACTAGTAACGGTGTCCAGCTGTAGACTGCAAGGCTGTAGGTGAGGTGCCCAGCTATATGCAGCACAGTGTAAATAAATGTGTGAAGATATTTTAAACAAAAACAAACATCCCATTCATTAACATACTTTTTATTGCAAATGACTGATTACACAAGACACAAGACAGCTTCACTGCTACAATGACAATGAGCAATACTGAGATGGCAGAACAGACAAACCTACAAATAACCTGTCAATACGAATATATTTAATCAGGGTTTGCTGGCAGGAATATATGTATTCTTATTTAAAGAACACAAGAATATGTTTTCGTACTTTAGGAGCACATTATGACCTTCTAGTTAATAATGAGTTCTATATGCATGCCCGGGTTAAGTGTCCCAATTGGAGGAACAGAAATACCATGTTTGATGTCCACAAACACCGCATTACCAGCAGCAAGTGAAGTTCTCCGTGGGATCTGTAGCAGCACCGACGTGTACTGTTAACAGGCGCCATACAATTCCTCAATCCGTGAAGTGTTTACTCTTTGCGAATGATTAAACTCTCACATGAACTATAATCTTCCATGCAGTTCGGAAACTAAAAAAACAGATTGGTGCTTACCACAAAGCCAATGGGGCTTTTAATCGAAAGTTTAATATCTAGAATCCTTAAATTATTTTCGAATGTTTTTAACAAGTTTAATAACTCTAGCGGCATCTTCATCTAAATTAGTCAGACAACATAACGGAAAATGTAAATACGAACGTTTGTTCCTTGTTGTATCCTAAGGTACAAAAATGTCTCTCAATGTTCAATATATAGGAGACTGAACAATAGAATGTTGTGATTAAATAAATCCCAGTAAATAGCATCAAAATACAAACTATTATGCGAAATGACATCCACTGTATGGACTCAGTCCGCGTAAAACAGCCGTCCTTCTCTACAGACACCAAACGACCTGAAACGAGGAATTCAAAACAACTAGAAAGACAATATTAAAGTAAAAAGGCACAAAACAGTAAACTTATTTTCATTAGTGACAACGAAATGTCGGTTGAAGTAGTGGGTCAAATTAATTTAAAAACATAGATCGCAGGAATGCGTCTAAATCTATACAGGATGCAGTTATTGCTGATAAAGTTTACACACATCGTCACAGTTCACATTCTTCAGTAACCTACCACTGAGGGGGGCTCCCACGTAATCTGACACGACACACTGGCTTAGCATTCTGACCCGTGCTGATTCTCTCAATCACTCCCCTTTCTCCTCTGTACGCGCCATTAACGATGCACGTTACATCCCCAACCTCAGGCACAAGAGTCATGAGGTATTTCTGGTCCACCATCAAGATATTGTCATTACACAGCACATGCGCGACGCCAGTATAAGGAGACAGAAGACCTATGATTCTGCACTTCTTCCTGTGGTTACTTCTGCCATACTTGTCTGTGATGATGGTTACCACGATCCCTGCCCGCAGCCAACTGTCCCGTCGGTTCATCCTTTCTTTCTCCTTCTCCTCTTCTTCCATTATTTCTGCGAGTGCGGACTTCCGGTTGCTGTTGGGTTTCACGTGGTTGCTGAGAGATTTTTGTGATAAAGATGTCCTTTGATCTTTCTTGTAGGGAGATCGTCGCGGGGACATTTTGAAGACGACTTTTTCTCGTTTAAGTGTCCACTTCTGATTGTTTTGTTTTAGTGGCTCTGAACCTGTGTTCATTATCGGAGGCACTCTTGTGTTTTCGTCACACTGCGGAGTGTTGTTGCACATATCTTCTTTAGTAGGCGTGAGTCCATTACGATCACTTTGTCCTTTAAAGTTTCTATCAACGTAACGCGGTTTAGGACGTGACGGCAAAACGTGCGCGGTAGCCTCCACTTTCTGGAGATTTTTAATGTACCAGATTTTGCTTGAGTAATCCACAAGGAAACGCCCAACTCTTCCTTGGTATCGAATAAACTCGTCAAGTGTCTTCCATTTCGTTTTGGATATATGAACATTGCCTTTGTTCAACATGTACTTCATGTACACTTCGCTGGCTTCCACTTTCTTGTCTCCATAGCACTGCTGAAGAACATTCATAAATCCATTCTCAAATTTTGAAGATAATCTGTTTCTTCCTTCCTCGCTCACTCCTTTGAATTGTTCCATCACAATGTCGTGGAACAGTGTTAAATCAACAACCGCGCTGTTCTTCTGAAGAGTCTGAATTTTGGCACGCTTATCCATTTGTTGGTGTTGATGCGTCCTCGTGCAGGTTCTGAACTAAATGAGCTACTAGCCTATGTCTCAAACGTTATATATAGGACCCCAATATACGTTCACCGTACGATCCATGACGTACATGACATTGACTTGATGTGGTGTGCGAGTCGTGAACGTTATCACAACGTTTTAGAATATCTAGCATACACATGTATAACTACATTGCAGGGCAATAACCAAATTATCTGTTTGTATTATTAGATGAACAGCTGATATTATTGCTGAGTGGAAAAATAAATAAATTTAGAACTTTCGTGCAGCGTAGAGCTCTATTATTAGAAACCGCGGGTAAACGTATGGAACGTTTTCCTCATGTTGACCACGTGATTTGTTTGGACCCAAATATAGAAATCACATGGCCTGTGACGTCAGACATGTAGAAAATGGCAGCAGGGCCGAACTGGGCATACTCGCCTGGTGTAATTATTGTTGAAATTCTTTCCTATTTGACGCTTCGTGACAGACTCAGAGCAGCGTCTATTTGCAAGAGATGGAGATCGTGCCTTTTCCACCCCTCACTGTGGAACAGTGTTGTGTTTGAACTGGGTGAAAGAGGCAGAGCGAAGTCAAAATTTCTTGCTGACAGATGTGGCCGTTTCGTGCGTGGAGCGGTTGTTAAATTCAACTCGCTCAGTGTCGCTGAAGTGAGAGAATGTGGCAGAATACTAGCTATCCTTTCGGAAAACAAGAACCTAAGGCATTTCTCTCTCCAACCTTCGAGTTGCCACATCGAATGGCCCGACACTGAGGCTGTCCATATTATTGACAAGTAAGCATATTCCACTGTTTATGTTGTGCTTGTGACGTCAGCGGGTCAAGGCGCTCTGATGGAATTTCGTCGAATTGCGCAGTTGCATCAGTTTTTCTGACCATTTATACTAGTGACACAAATCGACATGAAAAAAACATCAGCTGAATGACTACGTTTATACAATATGTAATACCAGAGTACTTATTAGTTGATTATTTTGGTAACATCTGGCCATGGAGGCAGCGGTCCATTTGTAAACAAACAGCTGTCAAAACCAACTGTTCCGAAACACGACGAGGAAGGAGTCGTTTCGTGTGCGATTGAAACGCTGACGAGAAAGGTCAACTCTGTGACCTAATCATATATGATATGTTGAACATTGTTGATGGCGTAAACAGTTGATAAATAATGTAACTGAAAGCTAGCGTATGATTAGGGAGTAGTATTGGATGTTGCTCGCACATATGTTTCATAAATACGCCTGAAAAAGACTCCTAAGGATTAGGCATCACATATTGTTTGAATGCAGGAAATTGAAAACAGGAAAACAAGTGTGCAAACTTAACTGTTGGTGTGCTGCACTGCATGTTGTGTAAGGTTAAGTGCTCACAGGTCAACAAAGGCCTGCTTGGTTGATATCGCTCAAAGATAATGAATTGCACGCTGTTTTTGTTCCTTGTTCTAAATTTCTTTTAATTTTTCAGCATCTTCATTTCCTCATTTTGAAATGCTTTTTAAGGATAATAGCAATGCAACATGGAGGCAGTTTTCTACTGATATAATGGTTCTTTTTCTTTTAATGTTAAAGCATAACTGGATACAGTGTTCGAAATAAATTTCGGTCCTCAGGCCTGAAGCCGACTGAAAACCACTCGGACCCACAGCTTTTGTTTTCTGCAGGTCCTTATGGCCGACAGCTTTTTCATCCCCAATTACTAAGGCTTAAGTTAGAGTATTATTTCCATATTAAAATATAGGACCTACACATTCTGATCGGGACCCACAACTTTTTATGGCTCTGGGCCCTGTTTCGCAAAGCTATCGTAAGCCTAAGATCTCGTAACTTTTCTTGTAGCATTCGTACCTCCTTAGTCCTATTCTGTAACATAGGGAGTATGAATGCTACGAGAAATGTTACAAGATCTTAGGCTTACGAGAGCTCTGTGAAATGGGGCCCAGGGTCCTTAAAGCCTGCCTCTTTTCAGGGTTAAGGGCAAACACTGACTGGAGACTGTCTTAAACACCACATATTATCTACAGTAGATTGCATTAATTTATCAAGACCTGTTCAGGGGCTGATATTCAGCCCTGAGTCTGCAGCAAATGACAATATAAACCTCAAATTAAAACAAAACTTCTCAAAACCTATCATAGCAAGAGTATTGAAACAAATACAATTTTGAACAATATGATTTTTTCCAAATTTAACTGCCAACTTAGAAACTTGGTTTGGCATCCTAATTCAATCCTGGTTTTTCTTCCTTGATAATGTCTAAAACACTACATATTATAAAAGATAGTTCTTTTGTATGACTGGCTCAACTCTTCGTTTCATCTTCATTATATGTGATAGGTAATTCTCTTCTACTGGACAATGTCTAAACACTGCATTATCTGTGTTCCAGGTACCTGGACTTGATTGAATGTCTGATTGAGCACAGTTGTAAACTGAGACACTTGTCTCTTGGATGTGTGGAGGAGCTCCTGGTACACAGCAGTTCCCTCCTGCAGAAGCTGTCCTCCAAACACGGCTCCAGCCTCCAGTCTCTCCACCTGGCCAGTGTCAAGGAAGACAGCGAGAACTACGGCATCATTGACCTCAGCCCCGCCAAATTTCACAACTTCTACCTTTTGCAGAGCCTCAGTTTGGACTATGATTACTTGACAAATGAACTGCTGGATCAGTTCGCTAACCCTGACAGAGCAAAGCTCCAGAAGCTCTGCATCAATGTTCATGGTATTGAAGCCGACCATGAACGCATCACAAATGATACATGGAGGAAGATACGAAACTACAGCCCCAAACTGGAGGTGACCCTCAATCTGATTCATTCCTATGATGGAGTTGCCTCCCTTCTCGACATCTTTCAGCCAGCCATGCCACTGATTCATTTTCGACAGTTCTTCTGCTCGCATGTTAACATGGCTTCCATAAGTTATATCTCGTCACATTATCGGAACAGCCTGAAGACACTCCACATTGTTGATGGTCTGGTAGATGATATGTCTAGTCTCTATGACAACCATGACATGGAGGACCCCTTTGTCATGCTAGCATGGCAGTGTCAGAAGCTTGAGCACTTTACACTCATGGGTAGGTTCACCATATATCATTGACCTTTTGTAATCAGTATAATTACTGCTCTTCCTTTAGTAGTAGATGCCAACTAGATGTGTCACCAGCATGTTTGTGTCCAGTTCTGATCTGGGAAGCCCCACAGATTAATATTGAAGTAAGCTGATTGGTTGATTAGCATCCTCTTAAATTTGATATGGACTTTTATTATATGACCTTATCTGAATCAATCGTCTCACCTCAGCAAGTTTTGGGTTGATTTGAAGAAAGTGACCAGCCAAATCAATAGCCCAGGGCTGAATACCGTTTTTTGAAAAAGGGGGGAGCACGGTTCATTTTCACCCATTTTCACGGGAGTGTCAATGGTCCTTTAATAAACTTTCAGGATTGGATGGGGTGGGGGTGGGGTGGGGGTGTGCACCCCTGCAACCCCCTCTGGATCCACCTATGTAGCCATAATGCACCGTTGTAGTGTGATATAAAGTATAGCTCTAAGTACACAGGGAAGGAATAGGAAAAATCATTGATTATCGAAATCTTGAGAGCTGCAGCAAATGTCAGTAAAATTGCCAAATGTAGAATTTGTGTATCAATATGCAGTGAACTCTGAAATCAAACTGTATATAAGTAGCAGTACTAATGAAGTGTCTCTCCCAACCTGGATAATGCTTGACAGATCCAGAATGCCCTTTGTGGCTTCCGGGCAGTGGAGTAGCTTAAAGGTTAAAGTGTTCGCTTGTCATGCCGAAGACCCAGGTTCGATTCATCACAAGGGTACAATGTATGAAGCCCATTCCTGGTGTCCCGCTCTGTGATATTGATGGAATATTGCAAAAGCGGCGGAAAACTAAACTCACTCACTCAAACACTCACTGACCTGCTTCTCTGCACATGGTGAAGATGGAAGATGAAATAATCAATCAGTCTTCATTGTGAAAAGCTTCAAAATGTAATTATGTTCTCTACAGCGAGTCTGAGTACAGGATCACAAGGATTCTTGCCCAGCATCATGTGTTTGACATATTTACCAGAACCATGTTAAACCTCAAAATACATGTCCTTGTACCCTGAGCATGCTGAGGGCAAAGATTGTTGCTAGAGGTGTGACGATGCAGAAATTTCATGATGCGATACTTATCGCGATATCTTGGAATGATACGATTCGATACGATGCGTATCACGATATGCTATCTTGAGTTATTTTCTTGAAAAGTGTATTTTGATAACAAGTAACAGTGTAAATTTTGACATAACTGTCAATTTCTAGTGAAAATTCACAATTTTTAGGTCAAAGATACATATCATGATACGAAAAAGAGTATCGATATATTTATTGTCAGAAAATGTATCACGATTATCGATACTACGATATATCGTCACAGCTCTAATTGTTGCTTACCTTATTAATGCTGGATTGTCTTGTCATCATTTGATTATCCCCTTGTTATTATGTCCTGATCATGTTAGAAGTGGTACCTAATCATAGCGATGTGGTATCATCAGAAATACATCTCAAGTAAAAACAGCTGCACTGAGCAGTGCATTTACTACTATATTGTTTTGTATAACATACATATTTTTTCGCAGGTTATGTTATTGGGGAGAATGACATTGTGGCAATAGCTCGTCTTCGAGGCCAGCAACTGAAGACGCTCAACATTCCAGCGCGCTGTATCTCCACTGCTGAAGACGAGGAGGAGTCGCACTCATGGTTCTCAGTGGGCTGTGTCAGTCGAGACTTTGCCAAGAAGGTAACAATATCACTCACTGAATAAGTGTCCCTTTTTTGAAAACATGCAACATTATTACTGTACTTGCCATTTTTATTTGACATGTAACATTTACATGTATCTTGATGTATGCATAGCTTCCAAGTGTGGCTGCCATATTACACTCACTAAACTGAAAATATGGCAGCTGGCGCTTTGGCAGCTGCTAATGAGTAATCAGTGGTTAGAATTGGCTTGTATGTTCTTTGTGATTCATTATACATGTATAGTTGATGTAAAAAGTTATCCACTGTAATGTTGGTTCAGTACCTTAGAACAAACGGATGGAGAATGAAGTCCCAATAGTCAGTGTTGAGATGAGTGAGTGGTTGTTAGACTGGAACAGTATAACAGTTAATATGTTGGTGCTTCCTACCGCTGTATCTGCTTCATCCCATTACAGGGGCGGTGGGGTAGCCTAGTGGTTAAAGCGTTGGCTCGTCACGCCGAAGACCCGGGTTCGATTCCCCACATGGACACAATGTGTGAAGCCTATTTCTGGTGTCCCCCGCCGTGATATTGCTGGAATATTGCTAAAAGCGGCGTAAAACTAAACTCAGTCAGTCAGTCATCCCATTACCATGATTACAGTTCACATCAGAATGACCTAGTGCAAACTTTGACCAACCACAAAACAGAGACAGAATATTTACGCATGAGAAAAAAATCAGAATAAGCATAATCAGAAAGTTACTTCCCGGAGCTTCACAGCCCCAAGGGTTGGAAATAACTTCAAAATTACTAGTGTACTCCGGTACAGTGGCACATGTAAAATCACTTGCCCTGATACTTTTTCCACTATACCAGACGTTTTCTTGTTGATTTTATAAATAAACAACATAATTAACATTGGAAAGTCAACTGGACACCGGTACAGTGTGATATACAAATTTGTTTGCCTGATAGAAAAAAACACTGGACTCGGACATCGGGCAATGGGTTATTTCCACCCCTGAGCTCTCAGATTCCCAACTTCCATTTCAGTCACCGCTGTGAAAATTTGCAAACTGAACACAAGATAATCCCAGAAGGCCTAATATATTGTAAGGCAATTTTGATGTGACCTGTAATGAGATGTCCTCAGATCATTGGGACGGTGGGTTAGCCTAATGGTTAAAGTGTCCGCTTGTCACGCTGAAGAACCGGGTTCGATTCCCCACATGGATACAGTGTGTGATGCCCATTTCTGGTGTCCCCTGCTGTGATATTGCTGGAATATTGCTAAAAGTGGGTAAAACCATACTCACCCACTCACTCCTCAGATCGTTGTGTAGTGACAGTGGGCCCTTAAACAAGATTTTAATCAGTTTAACCAGAATTTAATTGATGCCAAGTGTCAAAGGTTGGCAGGCCACTGATAAAAATTATATTTTCTTAAATTGGGTGGGCTTTTAGACCACAAGTATTTTGACTTGACTCAACCGCCAACTAGTTTATCAGCTAAACCTCTAAGAAGGACCAATACCGGTATGTTCTGCATATTGTGTATTTTCTAACTAACCCTTTTCTTCAGGTATCTGAGAGCCTGCGCTACGATTGGCTGCCCATAGAAGATGATGATTTGCCAGTGGCTGTCCTGCGAGATGAAGCGGACGCTGAGGCTGCCTACATGAACACCCTCCTCTCTGACCAGGTGTGGGAGGGGGACTAGATGACACGGGTACCACCTGACGGAGAAGGGGGTGACATGGCTGTGATCAAGTACCTGAGTCAGCACATGGCTGTCAGCAGGAGTTGTAATGTTTCGGGGAACCCATCCTTCAAGATCAAATTTTCCATTCTCTGATGATTTTGCAGGCGTTCTTATTTTTGACCACAAACAAAAAGTTCTGTACATCATTAAATCAATTGGCCATGTTGGGTCTTTTTTAAAGGAAGTTTCCCTGATGATGTTAGATATTGTAACAATTTTGAACTCCTGGGTATTTCTTTAACTTTGGATGGAGAGACTTTTGACAGGTAAAGCTGGGATTGTCTATCAAAATTCCTTACTTGTTGCATGGGTTTCACTCCAGTTCTTTGTAGAATTTCGGTATGATTCTTTGAATGCCAATTTATATCCATGTGAAACTATGAGACCATACTGCTGATGGGGTCATTTCTTTTGCCGGTATATTTTTAAGGAACCAAATTGTGATGTATGTGAAACTGAAATTGATATAAGGCTAAGTTTAACGATTTATGAATTATTCATAATCCTATGATTAATCCAAATTGCTGTTGTGGTTTGTCCAGAAGAATTGTATTTGGTTAGTTTGTGAATTTTCTGGTAGGATAGCCGACTGGTTGTAATAAATTATTCTAAAGAAGGACCACTCGGTTCTTTCATATTACGACAGTTATGGTCATGCTATGAATGATAAAGTACAGCAGTGTGAAAGAATCGAGTAGTCCTTCACTTCTTGTGAGTAATATATTCACTCAACATGTCCCAAACCCAAGTTTCGATTACATACAACTGTACTGTGTGACTCTGTCACTGTTCGAGCTAGGATTGATCAATGTGACTTCATCACAAATCTATTATTAGTTGAACATGCCATGATGTCGATGCAGTATGGTATTGATAAGTTCCATGTTGATACAGGTGGGGCCAGTATGGAGATGAATACTCATTGACGTAATATCAGGAATTGTGATGGTCTGATGTAAACGTTCATAAATGTGTGTAGATTTATTGTCCATAATCAGGTCTGTGTATTAAATTCTGGGCATTACAGACTGAAACAATCAAAATGCTGAGTTTGGGCACTGAACATTCCACCATAATGAATATGGTCAATACATTGATTATCAACATGTTCAATAGTTCTGTATATTTGCGATCAGTATTCATTCAAATGAAACTTAAGGAAATCAAACATCCCCAGCCTGAAAATTATTTAAAATGTTTGAATGTCTTGTAAAATCATGCTTGTGTATGACTGCTCAAGCTGCTTACATCAAACATACACATATGCATTGCTTCAGTAAGCATGTTTGTTAAAAATGAGTTATTATTCTAGAAATACATCATGTAACTCTTTTATTATCATTAGTTACTTTACCAATCAACCATCATGAAGACAAACATTTTGACTTGAAAATTATGAAGTACAAGTACATTTTAACATGGTTTATAAAGAAAATGAACATCTAATTTGTGCAATATGACTATAAGTGAATCTCAGAGGGGGCACAAATTTAAATCAACTTCAAGTCAATGATTGTTTCAGAATGGCATATGTGAGACATGTTGTGCCGTGTCTATGCAGCAGGTGTCATAGAATTGTTTTGACCCACCTCAGTATATATATGTATACATCCACTGTGGAGTTCAGGATTTCTTCTACATTTTCTAAACATGTTCTATTTTGAACTGAACTATTATCATGATTATAAGACCCAATACTGAATAGTGATATGGCCACCTTTGTGAAAAGTGGTAGGTAGACAGCAGGATGGTTGATAAACTGATAAGGAAAAGTGCCTGTGAGATTGAACTAGTTTCAGAGATGGATATACTGTTTAGAATTTGATTTTTAAAGATTATTATAACCTTTTGTCAATCTACAACGTGATTGTCATGTCCAACTTGAGCAAGTAGCTCAGTGCAGTGGCTCCTAAAGGAGGATCAAGCCAGCACTGTTGATTCATCCTCTAGTAAGACGTTAGCATATCACTTGCTAGGAAAGCAAAGATGAATTTGTTGATAGATCTCATGGGGAAGATGCATATGTTCCCAGTGGTATTGGGAAGATTGTGTGTTATCTTGATATATGGAATAAGTATGCTGCCCGAGGCCCACTTGTTTGAAGATACCTGTGTCGTTTTGTCACATCCTTTTACTGGAGCGTTAAAACACATTGTGCTAGTTAAGAAATTATTTCTGCAAGAGGGCCTCGGGAAGGGCCTTTGTGCTCTTGAGACAATACCTTATGACCATGATTTAGTAAAGTGTCTTTTTAACAGTCGTTACACAAAATCTCTATTATTACAGAGTATTCCATATTCTGCTGCAGGATTTCTTATCAGTCTTGTAATTTTGTTTTAGATTTACCAAGTAGTACCTGAGATATATAGGTGAAAAATGTTTTGAATGTAAGAACCATGAAGAGCTTTGACAAGATGATGACCAGACAAAGATGTCAGGATGGTGGCAGAATCTTAGTACAAAAGATTTTGAATTATTTTCCATTTGAAATTTGCTGTTTATACTTCACTGAACTTGTTTATCTTTTTTTCAAAATATTAATTCTAAATAACTGTCCAGGTAATAAGGTGACAGATCTTTTATTCAGGATATGTTTATTGTAATGACAAGGTCTTTACTGTTTTTTCTTTCTTCTACTAGTTGAGCCGAGTTTGTAACTCGTGTGTTTAAAATTGTAATTGCTGTTGAACATGTTTGACCTTTCATCTGCTGGTAAGATGTATTTAGATGTATTTTCCACCATATTTGGTAGTTTCAACCAGTGTGTTAACACATGAATGTTATGAAGCCCCAGATCCTTTGTTACTATCTGTGCATTAGCCTGGTGGTTGTTGAGATTGTGGTGCTTTGTTTGAGACCAGTATTAACGTTAACACCAGTGTCTTTGAGAGAGAATCATTACTGCCTTATATTGGACTTCACTAGGGCAGAGCGTTCGCTACAGCGCAGTATGAAAACTGGCCGCACGACTCTAGTACAACAAGACAATCAGGACTCATTGTTGTTCAAATCATTCAGCGGTCTTTCCATTCCAGTTATTATGTGATATACATCAAGATACCTCGCGCTGGCTGGACCACACTGAATGTTTCTGGCTGCATGGTGTTGACTGACTAAAATCGGTTGGATTTAACTGTGATATACTGCCATACGTGCTTGTGTATTGTTGTCATCGGCATACGTGACCTGTTCATGTAAAGACTTGGAATCTCATGACATACATATACCTCCAAACCACACAAAGACTAACTTGTGACGCCATTCAGAGAGTTGTTGCATGCTTGCCATGCTATGTTTGATATCTATCAATCGGCAGATACGGGTGATCAGGAATCTTGTTAATTCTAGCATTGTGAATATGAATACTGAGGACCAGAAGTCACATGATCCAAGTCCCACAACTCCTTTACCAGCTGTGATACCCACATTTCGTCGACATTGGAGAGATTTTTCAGCACCGAATGAACAGTTTGCCATCTTTTGTTGTTGTTTATGATTATTTATCTCAACTATTCCAGGGGAAAGAGAGAGAAAGAAAGAAAGGGATGAGTGCTATTTCCACCATTGTTTTCACCGTCTTCATGAGTTACAGGAGATTATCATGACACATATGCAACAGGAGTTTTTCATGCCATGGTACAGGCTGTTGATGGAGGCCTGCCCCTAAACAAAGGCTGTATATGTTTTGCCTAGGGGGGCTGTTTATTATGTTCTATTATTATCTTTAACCATGGTCATTTGAGATCTGGGGCTGAACTGATAGTAAGACCATTCAGAAAGGTTTCTCATTCATGCTACATTTTACCGAATACTTCTACAGAATGTTCAAGAACGGGAGAGGCTGTGTGTGTTGAAGAAATGTTTTAACTTGAGGTCAGGAGTTAATAGGTAAACTTTTAATCTCCAGACTTTTTGTAGATACTCCTTAAGTTTTTAAGAAAACCTGAAGAACTTGTAAGCTAATGAAGATCGTTGGTTTATTTTCTGACTGCTTCTGTTCACTGGGTATTTGAAGACCTGCTTTCATATACAACTATTGCAACAACAGAACCCAAGGCAGTGTGCCTAAGGTGTTTCGTATCTATATATTGGAAGCGTTTCAGCCAGTGTTGTAGACCATTCTTTTCCACTATGGCTGATTAATCTAAATTGTCTTTTGACCATATATAAATAACTCAAGTTCCAGCTTTACAAAACGATTTTTAATCTTTTAGTATAAATACAAGAAAATATTGACTTTTTTTAGTGTGAAAATAAAAAAAATATTGTATTTTGTCATGAAGATGGTTGATGTAAAATATTGAAATTCCTGTGTAGATGTGTTTTCTTAAATATTTGTCTGTATATGTAAATGTCATGTCAAAATCTGTGCTGTTTTTCAATGTCATGCCCTTGGACATTACCCGTTTATTGGTGTTTTGAAGATACATGTATCTATAATCCATGTTCAGACCTTTTGGTGTTAGCACTTGGAATGTAGGGAAGGTGCTCATCACATTTTAACTGATAATGCGAACAGAAAATTAAATTTGACTTCACTGTTTTCAGTAAGAGACCATATCTACCTACCTATGTAGTATATATATGAAACATCATTGACTGGGAATATTGCTTCAGGAACATTTTGAAGACTTTCATATTTTAAGTTGCTTAGCAACGTGTATCTTGTCAACTTATTATCACAGGGTTTTTTCAGCAGAATCACTTTTGTGAACAAGTTTATATCTAGTATGATAAGTAAGTGTGAGAAATCTGATGGTTATTTTTGGCTATGAAGTGATTTTTAGAAATGACTAATGGTTTGAAGCGATTTTATTAAAAACAGATCTTTTACTCCAATGCCATATGTCAGAATGTGAGGACACTTCCTTAGAAGGTTGTCAGTGAACCCTGCTCATACTTGACTGTCCAGTCAAAATGAAGGCTGTGTGGACGTAAGACCCAATTCTGTGTTGGCTTTCTAAAACAGTTCAACTTTATTTATTTACTCAGGGATGGCAATTTTCTGCAGATTTCCGTCGATATTATTCAAACTGATCAATTCTGTGAATCGTCTAAATCCGTTGACAAACCCTGAACCCCATTCGATGACACAACATTAAGTTTTCAGCTGAAAATAGATTTTCCTGTTGCCATCCCTGTTTACTGCCTCACATTGGAAACTTAGATCTGCCAAAGATTGCCATATGTACCCTCTCAAAGTAAACTTTGAGCGTAGATGTCTTGCCACTCACAAGTGTCGGAGACATATGAACATCTGGATTCAGACTGATCTTCCACAACTCATGGTTGATGTTAAGGGCAACAAATTGGATTGGTTGGTCAGGTTTTTTGACTTGGTAAATGATTGTCATTATATTCCATTTGCCTAGATAATGCTCATAATGTCTGCTGAGGACTTATATAGCTGGGATATTGGTGATTGCAATGCTACACAACAAACAAGCAAATGAGCACACATAGGCAACAGAATGTATAACATATCCACAACAGTATCGGGTGGTATGCTTTGGACTTCAGATTATCATTTAGGTTTACAAAATCTCATACCATGAATTTTTAAGCCAGAAGATGACTGATGGATGAGAGAGTTCACCTGACAGGACCGCCCATAGAGGTGTCCTAAGATATTCATGCAGTGGAGTAAAAGATCTATTTTAATTAGATTGGGTTGGAGACATATAAACAAGTCCAACTTGATATATATATATATATGATAAGCATTATCAAATATTACATAGTCATTCAGTAGAGCATCCAGATTTTCATGAATAGAATTTCATGCAAACATAGAAAATGTTGCATATTATCTTACAGGGCACAGTCTACTGATTTATACAGATTATTAAATGAGTTCCAGGTTTTTTGGAAGAATAGAGAAATAATTTCAAGCTTGTGTAACATGCTTCAGTTTTCAAAGACTTTAAAAGTAGGCTGGACATAGTATTTATTTCAAAAGCCATTGACAAATAGTAGCATGTTTTTTTGTGGATTATTAGCAGTTTTTGCAGTTTGCATGTTATAATACTTATCTTAAGGGAAGTCTAGTGAATTCTGTTTGACCTCCGTCGTTAACTTGAAATTGTCCATGTTAGAACACTACCTGTAAATCTTCCGAAAGTTATGCAAAGAGCTGCACTGTGTTGACGGAAGAAACATCAGTTGCTTGAGATATGTCTCCAACAAATTCTTGTCCACATTTCGAGGTTTTGGTTTGGTGAAGGACAAAATGATGTAGCACTTTCTAGTCTAGTTTCTAGAGTTACAAACACCGAGAGATTTATCATGTCAGTGTAAGTATTGTGTATATATAATATGTCGTACACACACTAGTGTCCTTTTAGCAGGTTTCTGCAGTGCAGTTTACAAGTCGTTTTTGCCAGATTATACTGATGTCTTGTACCTATTTTATATTATATTGCATGGAAAACATGGCAAATACAAGCTGGGGGAGACAGTCCTGTATACTGACACACTTTGAAAATGCAAATAAGGCAAGGCAAAATGGACAAATCAAGTTGCGGGTATTTTTGTGTGAGATCAACAAACACAGCAATGGATTCAGATCTGATTTAAAGTGCTTTGAGATGAACCCAGTGCAAAAAGACATATTGTCTCATCCACTTTCAATGTGTGTCTGTATGATTTATAACCTGATATGTTAGTTTCAGTTTTGACTTCTGAAAGTGTCCCTCTTAATTGAAATTCTTGTTTCAAGAGTGCTGTTCGAGAAGGGGGCGGTGGGGCAACCTAGTTCGCTAATCATGGTTCGGGTTCGAACCCAGGTTCGATTCCCCACATGAATACAATGTGTGAAGCCCATTTCTGGTGTCCCCTGCCGTGATATTGCTAAAAGCAGCGTAGAACCAAACTCACTCACCTGTTTAAGAGGAGGTGAGTTATGCAGTTGTGAGATTGTTTGTTGACTGAAACATATGAGGGCTCCCTAAAATATGTATTTCAACTGATGGTTATTGGAGATTTTTATGTTCCCTTCGTCATTTTGACCCCAGTACCAATTTCCTCAAAGCAGTTTAGCTGTAAATTGGCTTGAAGGGACATTCCAAATTTGTCATGTGATGTAACAGGACAACATGTGGGGAAAGACAGTGCCGAAGCTTTGATGGCTTCCTATAGAATTGTATGATGGTTAAGAAAGATAGTTAACCTTGAATAATGTTTTTAAACAGGCTACAGTAGACTTATGAAAGGGAAGACTATCCTTCCAATAGTTGTCATATTTGCAAAATATTCCCCAAAATAGTGACAATATCTGAATGGATAAAAACTGGTAATTATATTTCTATATTTCTTTTGAGGAATTAAGGTTACTCATTGTCTTCTGATTCGATTCCCCACATGGGCACAATGTGTGAAGCGCATGTCAGGTATCCCGGCTGTGATATTGCTGGAATGTTGCTAAGAGCAGCGTAAAACTAAACTCACTCGCTCATTTTCTTCTCTCTGTTAGGTGTTTTGGTGATGCTGGTATTTGCCATGTTTTCTGTCTTTGACATATCCAGGTTTTGTGGTGTAGTCTTGGTGTGTAGTTACAGTAGTTAGACATTCAACTTTTCATGTTTGTGTTCTAGTTTCTGCAAGGAGCACCAGCTGTCACATGGAAGGTCACCAGGTCAAAGGTCATACTCAGTCACGTGATTATGTGCACATTTTGTTATTACACAGATATTTACGTATATTTTGATTATAATGGACATTTGACCTTTGACCTGCAGTTCCTATTTTCTAGCTGCAGTTATGTAACTACAAACATCTAGTCAGTTATTTATGAATGTACACAGAGAAGAGTTTTGTCAACTCCTTGCATAGAAAAGCATTGAGAATCATGACTTTTCAGTGACTTGACATCACTGAAAACAGTTTATGCTTTTGGGAACAGCTTGTGACAAACAAATATGACAAAGAATTTCATCTGTAAATTTATTAATTTCCAAAGTGCCAGTATAGTCAAGGCGATCACTTGTTTATGTGTCTTTTCAGTGGTAGTTAAAGCAGAGAATCTGCAATGTACATAGTGAGAGGCAATACCAGTACACATGGTATTTGAAGATATTTTAAACATGGCTCAGAGAGGTTTACCCATGTTCTAAATGCTGGATCCAGCAGTTGGAAATGAAATCTTCATATTTTTACTAGGCCACCCTGACTGAAAATACACAGACTCGCTATTCTAAAAAATATTGAGTATGGAACCGTAATGGGTGTACAAGCAAGCCAACAAGTCTAGATCAAGCCAACAAGTCTAGATCATGGACAAAGAACACAAGCTATGATGCCATTTTCAGTGTTGTCATTTTAGGGGTTGTTTTGTCAGGGGACATAACTGCAGCTAGAAGCGAGTCCTAATGTAACACCATGGTGTACAGAAGTAACACACGCAAGCTTTACATATTCATGCACTTGTGTGTGAAATGCAGCGGCATCATCCATAGGGCTATACCTAGTTTTAACACCGTGATGAGGAGTGGCTGCAGGCTTACTGAGGCCCCACTCTGGTTTGTGTACATACGGTATGTTTTTACGATGTCTTTCAGAGCTTAGACAGGGAACAATCTGCCAACGTATAGATCCGGGTTTTAGAGCAGATGCGATGTTCTCTAGAAAGGGCTACCAACGTGTTCTGTAGTCAGGGTGTTCATCCTACATGTGTTGGGCCACTTGTCTGAGAGGTCCTGCATCAAACTGACTATTCTACCTCAGAGAGATAACTTGAGGCTTGTAGAATATCAAATATCACTGGGAAGAAAAATGTAGGTATCACGGTTTCATAATTTACTATGAAACCAGACATATTTTATTTTCATTCACTCTGTCATTTCAAAAGTTGGAACAGTTTCTTTTTTAAAAAATCATTTGGAAGTCAAAATCAGATGACTGCAGAATTTTGAAATTTGTTATTTTCAATGACCAAAGAAAATAATCCTAGTCATTATGGACAAACCTGCAGGTTGACAGGATTAACAGTCTTCCGTTTTGTTAAGTATAATTGATGAAAGGTGGGCCTCACTTTGATTCTCCATGTTTACATGTATCTATCAGGTGAAGACATTTGTTCCATATAAAAATGTCTTATCTGGTACAGTGTTGATGCAGGAGGTTCTCACACACCCCCCATCTTGGGTCCTGAGACCAAGTTTCATCTGTCATTGAGAATGGTGGCCTCACCCACAAGGGATCACTTTTAAAGATGTAAATTATTGATGGATATCACATGCATGCTATATAGACTGATATCACACACTGTTATTGACTGATATCTCATGCATGTAATACCAAGTGATATCCCACTGCAATATGCGGGGAGAGTGGTACGAAGAGTCTTTCATCATTACATTGCCAGCAACCATCACGCCAAGTGCCAAGTGAGTTGAGATCGTCGAGTCATGTCTTGCCAGATCACATGACCCTCGATACATTGTTCAATTGTTATCAAATCAAGCAAGTCAACTGTTACTATTTAAGAAGAGAAGATGGGGTGTTTGAAGGATGTTTTAAGTGTATGAATGGCTGTACACAACGTCAATAAAAGCTTGCATCTGTGCTCCAGCCCTGATTTCTGTCTTCTTTTCCACAGTCACCTTGACTGGCTTAGAATATCAGTCTTAGAAAACAATGGCCAGTAGTTTCAGGCTGGGATCAATGCTCAGCAGCCATTATGACTACCTAATGCCCCTTTCTTGTTTGACACTGGACTTTGGCATTGTGGTCGAGCACTTTAATCATGAGGCTGCCCCACCACCTCTTGTGCCTACACTAAGCTGAACTTTATGACACTATGAGCAGTGTAGGAAAGATGTAGAAAATCTAGCCTGTCCACAGGACTGGCTGGTCAATTTTTTTACCAGTCCTGCCAAAATCTAGCCTGTCCTCCAAATATAAATAAGACACCATTTCAAGACTTAAAACTGGTTTGTTTTATTTTAAGCTATAATTTAATATGCACACACAGAGCTTGGACTGTTAAATCTCTCCTAGTGGAATTATCTGGTTACAACATGACAGAACTAGTCTTCAGACAAGTCATCAACATCTCCATCAAGATCTGAAAAGTCAGAGTCATAGTCTGAATCTGCATCCTTGCCAGTTGCACATTCAACATTGACTAAAATAAGAGTAAATTCGCTCAGTCATAGCAGCAGACCGACCGATGAGGGTCGCGCCATTTTGGTTTGAAATTGGGGGAAACAAGAAACACGTTTTCCTATTCGTTGATTCTGTGACAACCGGCCAATCATGCACTTCCTTACTAAACTCGTTTCAAGAAGCTAAGGGAGAGAACTCTGTTCTTATAGCAAACATCTCGATTTCGTTTGCGATAATTTTATCTGTTTGATTATTCTAGTATCCTTTGGCAGTAAACATTCAAAAAGGTTATAATATAATAATGATTATGTCATTGGTTTGCTAAAACTGACCCGACATGAGGACGGACCAGATTTTTTTTTAACCCGTCCTCCACAAAATTCACCCGTCTCGGACGTTGGGACGGGCTATCTTTCCTACACTGCTATGAGGTTTGTCACAAAACTGGCCAATCAGTCACCAAGGGCACAGGTGGCCCACTGTATAGAGGAGCAGCTCATGGGTGTGCCTGAAACCAATCCTGGTTCACCCAGATTATGTACAAGTTTGTCAGCACCATGCCCCGTTTGTAGGTTTCACCAAGTGCTTCACTTCCAGCTTTCCTCCAACATTAAGCTGACACGTCTTGTTAAAACTGGAATACTGTTCAGATAAAACTCACTCTCAACATTTCGTTAATATTCAATCCAAAATGCCAACTCCTGAAACAATGACATTTTTTGCAAACATACAACAGGTAAAAGTTAGATGACTCAAGACTTTATTCAGTTTGCCATCATTCTACATTGTACTCTAACTTTCACATCAGCATATACAAAATGAAGAGCTTATAACTATTTGGAACAACATCTGTTGGAGGATGATTAATGATGTCCATCGAAAAAAATAGGTTCCAAGTCATTTCTTGTGCATACATACCAGAATACACTTTCAGAACAGTTCCCAGCTTGAGGATGGCTATGAGGAAGTGTATCATATCACACTTAAAGAGATACTTGTTTATAACACCAATGTCTAGATCATCCTGCTGAACTGATAGGGTCAATATCACTTATGTCTCATGCTTGTGTGCAAATCTTTGTTCTGCTTTAACAATAAATATCCCCAAAATATTCATGATCCATAACTTTTTTTGTTAAGTATGGAAATAACGTATTTGGTGGATATATTGTCACATCTTTTGTCTTCATTTGTTGTTATTGAAGATAGCTGACACAGTGAGATATGGAGCATAAAATACCACTGTTTGGAATTCCTCTACTTTTGTTGCATTCTTGGCACCTTAACCTCACTTTGTAACCTGACATCAACACTGACGGCAACTGGAGATTGTCATCCTCTCAGGGGAGGCAACTCTGTCATATGGCTTTCCTGTGATACTCTGGAGGAGCCACGAAAAAATCGTTCAGACTGAATAATGTTGATGAGTTCTTGTGTAGGTATCTGGAAAAGAACAAAGATTACAACTAATTTACTTTCAAATGATTCTAAAGGTTTGGTATTTTTAAAACAAACTTTGCCTGAGAGCCAAGCCATGTAACATACTAAATGTACATGTATATCCACACTGAAACACACTTCTAACCTACCCATATACAAGCTATACTGTCCGATTTCATCATCTTACTCCATAGTGGCAGATCCAGGATTGGAAGTAAGGTGATGTGTACTAGGTTATTTCATTCTAACATGAACGTGAATCATATCTGAATACACGCATGCATGTGTGGCTGCTTTAACCTGAAAAACATAATAATGTGACAGAGTTGTCAGTCAACATGTAAATTGTCTACTGTTATGCAGCCATAGTGGTCTTGTCTGCAACTCATGTATCACAAATCCACTCTGATCAAATTCAGCTCCCCTTATCACCTTCCTTCATAATAATAGCCTGTATATTTACATTAATTACATTAATTAAATCAAAGGTTAAAAGATACATTAATTTCCAGCTGTATCCTCACAATAAGCTTAAGGGACTACTTTCCTGTGTCACTTACTTGAGGAAGTCGTGGATGTGGGTGAGGAGGAGCTGCACACTCTTCTCATCCAGAGCTGTGTAAGCCAGCATCCCACCCAGCTTCACTGAAAACACATTCTAACACTGTAACACTAGAACCCATTGTAACACGAGAACCCATTGTAACATGAGAACACATTGTAACACTAGTACCCATTGTAACACGAGAACCCATTGTAACACGAGAACCCATTGTAACACTAGTACCCACTGTAACACTAGAATATATTGTAACACTAGAACATATTGTAACACTAGAACATATAACATATTGTAACACTAGAACATATTGTAACACTAGAACATATTGTAACACTAGTACCCATTTTAACACTGTAACACTAGAACACACTGTAACAGTAGAACGCATTGTAACAGTAGAACATATTGTAACACTAGAGCACAGTTCTTATACACTGCCAGGATTTATCTTGGATTTCAAACTAAGTGGCCTTGGGAGATTAAATAGGAAACACATAATTTTTGTTAAAAATTGTTACTTTCTTAAAGGTTTTTATTTTCTTAAATTCATGGGTACGTTAATATCAAATTCAATACCAAAATTTGCAATAAAGTCTTAGCAATAAAGTCTCTTTGTTTATTGTTTCTGTTGTCACCCCTTCAAATGCTACAACACTAGTTATTAATAACTGATACAGTTTGCGGTAATATAACTGGCAAAAATGTATTTCAATAGTTTGTTGTTAAATTGTTAATTAAACAAAAACACAATTATCACTTCTTCATGACATATAATATGCATTGCTGATTAAGAAAAAACAAATAAACAAAATTATAAGCGTATAATCGCAAATGAAAAGTGCAATATTTTGTACTTGGGTTTACCTCCCTCGAAACGAAGCAGCCGGGATACCGAACCCAGTCAGAGCGGGTGGGTGTGCACTCAAGTGTAACGGCTGGTTCATTAGCAGATGCCGCCTTCACGGTTCATTGTGTGTGTATAGAGATGTTGGGTTTTGTAAATACTTGCTCATTTTTTGTGTATAAGATTTTGCAATCAACAGACATGATAACATGTCATGTGTTCAAGTATCACACCTGCCTGTCTGTGTAATTACATAATGTGACAGAGACCGAACTCGGGCCATAAATCAATGCATTTTGTTTATGGTGTATAGCCTGATTGGTGTTAAGTTCAAATTGCATGTGGGCAGTGATCGCAGTTGTGTATTGAATATTGTCATTAGCAGACAGGCAGGCAGACACACAGGTGTCAATAAAACAAGACATTGAGTTTTGTCTGTGATAACGACATATCTATATCACGGTTAGAAATTGTGTCAACGCTAAATAATGACATTGCTTTTAAGTATCGAACTGAGAAAGTGACTCGGTAAGAAGACCGTGTGGTGAAATAGACAAATGAAATTATATAAACAGTTTATTTACTGTCATAACATATTAAAAGCTCGCGCTTGTGAGATATCAACAAAACATTAGGAAAATAGCTCACACCAAAGTTTTCACCGAGTATTCACCAGACAGCCCGCTTCCAAGTTGCGCGAACCTATTTCACTGCGCACATGCTATGAGCGCAGCCCAGCTGTTGAAACCCGTATTCCCCAGAAAAGTCGGGGGAAATTTAGTGAAACGTTTGAACTCCGATTTCGCGCGTTTTTTTTCATCGCGTTATTTTTCAACTTTATAACTTGAATTTGCATTTTTGATGATTTGTTTCGGTAAGTCCATACCGAAGGTATCAGAATCTGCAAAGTTGTGTTTTACGTTGCATGTGACCTTTAATTAATGATTCCCGCGTAGCGAACAACCGAAGAAGATGCACGGCACCATAGATGCTGCACATACTGGTGTCCGATTTTTCGGATATAATCTGTGGACAAGAGACAATCAGTGGTATTCAAGCAATCAACAGAATAAACTGAGAAGCTCATTAATTGCCTCAGGTTTCATAATTCAATCACGACATGGATTCATGACAAACAAATGTTCAGTTTGTATAATATACACCTAAAAGATCAACATACATGGTATGAGCAACTTCATTAGATGATTAATGTCAGTTGTGTGACTTGCATCCATTATGATTGGTTTAGTTTGTTTGTTGTTTAACGCCACACTCAACAATATTCCAGCTCAATGGCGTCAGTTTGTAAATAATCGAGTCTGGACCAGACAATCCAGCGATCAGCATGATTGGGATTCAACCTGACCATCTGATCCTGTTAGTCGTTTCTTACGAGAAGCATGAGTTACTGAAGATTAATTCTAACCCGGATCTTTATGGGCTGCATCCATTATGAGAATGTAAACAATGAGTTGATAACCAGGCTGATATGACACAATGATAATGGTGTTTACCTCTCCATATTGGGGTCTCTCAAACTTGTAGAGGAGCTGTGTGCCCAGCATAACATTGAAGTACTCCTGGATACCATGGGACATTTCAATCACAGCGTCTCTGTACAACACAGGAAACAAGTGATCTGTAAGCTCTGATTGACCAAACAGAAGCAAGTATTCCAAAGTCAGGGTAGAATACACCATCAGCAACTACATGTACAATCAATATATAGTTGAGTTCAAAAGTTACATTTGTAAGTGTTAAATTTAACGGTTTCAGCAAGGAAACAATGTTTATGATAATGTAATCATCAACCCATTAATGGCTTTAACAAATAGCACCTGTTGAAAAAACACTGGAAATTTGGATCCTGAGCAGCCAAACCAAAGTCCATTAGTGTGGGCTTAAATACCACCCTTACCAAGTAGTGCAAGTTACCTAGTTGTCAGCAAAATGACGAGCGGCTTTAACCATTAGGCTTCCCCATTTCGTCCCCTCATTTACAAGAAAAATTCAAGTGAACATGGTGAATTAATGAGTAAAAGTTGCTTTAATCAGACCTTGCAATTCAATTAGGATCGACCGTTCATAATTTATGGCTAGGGGGTGATGTAATTTTTATGGAGAAGCATGTACCATGTAAGTGACCCCCTAAAATTTATGTACAAAGTGACCCCCTGCATGTCATGTACAAAATCAATGACCCCCTCCCTTCCCATATGTTTTTAAGTGTACTTTTTTAATAATGTTGTGTACAAAATTGATGACCATCCCTAGTACATGTGTACAAAATTGATGACCCCACCTACCTCACCAGAACAAAATGGGTGACCCCCCTTAAAATCATCATCACCCCCCTAGCCATAAATAATGAACGGTCCCTTACGGGAGAGAAATACTTACTTATTCGGATTATTGGCTTTGGATGTTTTCGTCTTGACATAATCGTCGAGGATATTTTCCACAGTCTGCCTGGCCGGAAGAGTGACCAGCTGTAAACACCAGGGAAGGTCAGTGCATACCGTATTTGCTCTATTTAGTGCAGGCTCCTATAAGTATCCCCTGAACAACTTTAGGACAAATATGTAAATTTTGGGAGTATCCCCGAAATAGTGAATGGGTGAGTGAGTTGGGTTTTAGGACGCTTTTAGCAATATTCCAGCAATAACACCACGGGGAACACCAGAAAGTCCTGAATAAGACACAAAATCTTTATAACAGTCCATATTTCTAGTGTATATTACATACTTTTACAGAAAGCTGCACAGAGGGTTTATATAATTTCCAAACAAATATGATTAAACATGCTTATCTTTCATTAAGTTTCTACAAAGTTTAATCTGAGAAAAACATTTTTAACTTTTTTTAACTATGGTTTAGTAAGCACCACATCTTTTTCAATTTGCTATGCATGCGAGGCACTTGAACCTTGAACCAGCACAGCAGCCGGAAACAAATTGTGCCCCTATGAATTTCATTTTAGTTTTTACACCAAAGATGGGACACTAGAGACCCATTCAGATCAGGAATCTCCCGGGGGCTTCATATTTCCAATAACTAAGATCAACCAGGCCAAAGCCAATACAATGACAAAGTTCTATAACCAAGTCAGTGAGGAGGATTTTATACCACTTTCAGCAATATACCGCACATTGGGACACCAACGATAGGCGGAACATGTGTACCAGTGGTAATCAATAAGTAGGCTTTTTAAGCCTTACTGCTGGAAATAATATGCCAGGTATGAGGTAAATATTTACCATGAGCAGGGATGAAAATTACTGGTGTTAACTTTGAAACTTGGAATATACATCCACGTTGGGAACTGAACCTATGTCTGACCAGTAAGCTCTGTAACCACTAGTTATCCCTCAAAGTCACATGACACCCACTGGATAATTCATCATAATTCTGTCTCAGTATCTCTGCACAACAAACTGTTGCAGTAATACAACTATTACATAAATCCCCTCAAACATGGACAAGGGGAAGCTACAGATAAACTTAGACCTTACCATTTTCTGTCTAGTTATCAGGTCCCAGTCATCAACCAGCCACTGTTTCAGCTCATCTGGCACACGGATCTTTACCTCAATCTTTGATGTGAAAGACTCATCCTGGAATATTGGCCAACCATGTTCAACATGGAGATTATAAGGCACACAACATGGAGATTATAAGGCACACAACATGCAGATTATAGTGAGTGAGTGAGTGAGTTTAGTTTTCACGCCGCACTCAGCAATATTCCAGCTATATGGCGGCGGTTTGTAAATAATCGAGTCTGGACCAGATAATCCAGTGATCAACAGCATGAGCATCGATCTGCGCCAATTGGGAACCGATGACATGTGTCAACCAAGTCAGCGAGCCTGACCAACCAATCCGTTAAGTAAGCCTCTTACAACAAGCATAGTTGCCTTTTACGACAAGCATGGGTTACTGAAGACCAATTCTAACCCGGGACCTTCACGGGTACATGGAGATTATAAGGCACACAACATGGAGATAATAAGGCACACAACATGGAGATTATAAGGCACACCAGCGCTCAATGGGGGGCTTATAAGCTTACAAGGGGAGACCAATGGGTATTCTGGCTGAGAACACAGGCCCCAGAAACTGTTTGTCGTAAGAGGTAACTAAATGGACTGGGTGTCCAGGCTTGCTGAGTTGATGCATGACATTATATCCCAACTGTATGTATTGATGTTTAAAATGCCAATCACTGGATTGTTTGGTCCAGACTTAGTTATCTACATACTACCATCATAGTCAGTGAGTGAGTGAGTTTAGTTTTCACGCCCGCACTCAGCAATATTCCAGCTATATGGCGGTCTGTAAATAATCGAGTCTGGACCAGACAATCCAGTGATCAACAGCATGAGCATCGATCTGCGCAATTGGGAACCGATGACATGTGTCAGCGAGCCTGACCACCCGATCCGTTAAGTAGCCTCTTCACGACAAGCATAGTCGCCTTTTGTGGCAAGCATGGGTTGCTGAAGACCAATTCTTTCCCAGATCTTCACGGGTCACTACCATCATACACCTGAATAGTGCTGAGTGTGTTGGACCAGACAATCAAGTAATTGATATCATGAGCATCGAACCATGCTATCAGGGTACGACTACATGCCATCAACCAAGTAACCGAGCAAGACAACCGATCTACTTAGTTGCCTTTTAGATTGACGGGGACCAATATTCTACCCCGGAATCCCCATGTGTGTGTTACATCTTACAGTAGCCAGGTATCAAAAATAACTTAGAAGCTTGAGGGAGAGTAATTTCTAGGGAGTGAAGAGTTATTTCTAATGCTGCAAACATGACTTATTGAGATATCTGATTTCTTGCTGATGTTCACATGATAGACGTTTAATAAAGCAAGATGAGATTTCAAATTCTAACTTGTCTTGACATACCGATTCTACAGTGGCATCAGTTCTGGCTCTCTTTCTCTTTGGTTCTGGCGCAGGAGTCGGTACCTCTGCTTTAGGTGGTTCAGCTGTAGGTGGTGGGGGTGGCACAGGTGTGGATGTACCTGCAGAGACAAATGCAATCAGTGCACCAAAACACTGAGCAGACTACATATCAGTATTACAACAATAGCATACTCAAAGTGGCCATCTTCACACATTATGTGGATGGAAATTATTAGACATGTCCAATACACCAAAACGTCCGATGATTTACCAATAGTAACAAGTAGTATCCACACCGTAACAAGGTAATCAGGTTTATTGCAAAACCCAGTTGATACATTTTTCATGAGATGCAACCTCCCTACTGAATATTTAATACGTAGAGGTAGGGTATGAATATAGAACTACCTGATGTTTGTTCTTTCCCTTCCTTGTTGGAGCTGTTATTGACCTTCTGCTTCTGTTTTTCATTGGATGGTGTTGAAGCTCTCTCCTTTTCTTTATCTTTATCCTTGTCTTTTTCCTTTTCTTGCTTCTTGGCTGTTTCCTTCTCCATCCGTTTTGCCGCTCGCAGCTTCTTGTTAGCAGCTCTGTCAACATGATCACTATCTTAGCGAAAAGTCTCCAGCTGTTTACATGGCAGGCAAAATAACAAAATAACAGCTCAGCAATATTCCAGCTATATGACAGCGAGGTCTGCAAATAATCAAGACTAGACCAGACAATCCAGTGATCAGCAGCATGAGCACCAATCTGGAGATATGACATGCATCAACCCAATATATATCAATATGTATTTGAGTCTCTATTTGTTGTTTTTAACCCTAAACTCAGCAATGATCCACCAGTGTGACAAAATCTGCAAACAATCATATACGGACCTAACAATCCAGAGAGTGATATCATGTGCATGAGCTAAACTGGGATATAAGGACATGCATAAGTTGGAGATCAAGAGATCATGTTGGTTGCCTCTTACAAGGTTGTCTCAAACTCACAAATGTTGAAACATTTACGTACCCATGAGCTTTTGATAATTCTTTCTGTTTCTGCAAACTAGCCTCATTGAATTTGAGAACACGACTCTCAGGAACCCATTCGTCCCAGCTGAAAAGAAAACCACAGCGGTTATATTCATACCATCTGATCATAGGATTCAGACGGCAGTACTCACTTGGGCTGTAACAAGCGATGTTCTATAACATAGACATCGTAAATTCTTTATTGATGGCTTGTGTTTAGGATAAAGCTGTCTTTTATACGTGAGTGATATGTTTTAGGATTGTTCAAGTGATAATCAAGACAAGAACGGATGTTCTTAAGTGAGTGAAAACCCATAACACGTGGATTCTAATGACAGTGATATGTATACGTGTCTTGCTAATCTTTACAATCCCTAAAGTGTCAAGCTGTGTAGACAGCATGAAGCATGCATAAAGCAGATAAATTGAGTGCGTTTTAGCTTTACGCCGCTTTTAGCAATATTCCAGCAATATCACGGCGGGGACACCAGAAATGGGCTTCACACATTGTGTCCATGTGGAGAATCTAACCCAGGTCTTTGGCATGACGGGCGAATGTTTTAACCCCTAGGCTACCCCTCCACCCCAAAGCAGATAAACAATGACATCAGACAGAATATCACACAACTGTCAGCTGTAATATTTTCACATAGTACTGGTATGTACATCTTGCATTCCTTATTAGTAATTTGGAATGATAAACCTTGATGATGCAGGGGTGGAAATAACTTTAAAATTGCTAGTGTACTCCGGTACAGTGGCACATGTAAAATCACTTGCCCTGATAATTTTTTCACTGTACCGGCCGTTTTCTTGTTGATTTTTTAAATAAACAACATAATTAATATTGGAAAGTCAACTGGACACCAGTACAGTGTGATATACAAATTTGCTTGCCCAACAGAACAAAACACTGGACTCGGTCGTCGGGCAGTGGGTTATTTCCACCCCTGTGATGGCATGACATGGCCAGGCAAACCAGATTTATTTAGATGTAAAGGTAAGCTATATCTACTTGATAATCAATGCAGTATCAACTACCATACAAAATATTTTTTGTTTGCAATATGTCTTGAAGCTTTGGCATACAATCCACTACCAGTACTCACTTTTTGTTCCATCCATTGTAATGAATGAAATAGCGGGTGATCTTCTCCTTCACCTCATACTTGACACACTGGAAGAATACAAAGCATGCAGTAAACTGTCACTTGAACACAGCACACACAAAGACTGTAAGATACTTAAACAGTTTTACTAGTTTCAGCCAAACACATGATTTCTTGACATCTCCAGGAACTGTGAAATATTTTTCTTGCTTGAAGCTTAATCATATATTGGCAAAATCTTCTTACTGAAAATTTATGAAAAATACTTCCGTAAGAGGTTAAACAACACTCATGTTTCTTAAATGACTATAATTAATCTGCCACGGCATAGTGTGAAATTCAATAAAGAATAAACAGACAAAAAGAACAGAGGTTCTTGAGAGAGTAAGTTGTTTGAGGAACTACTTCTTGAGACTTGTGAAAGAGTTACCTTCCTTCCCATACTAACCTATGTTTTTTATTACAGAAACTTTACAGACAACCCTTATTTATCTAAATTTTATTTCAATGACACCAAGTAAAGAATAACATGGCCTTTATGTAAATCAAACATGCTTCTATGTCAGTAGGGGATGCCAGTCAAATCAGAACAGGTGATTTTGTCGTAACATCACATCTCTCAGAAAATGTGGGTATTTGTAGTTTACTGACGCACTCAGGAATATTCTAGATTTGTAATGTAAATCATATTCAAGATTTGAATCTCTATCTGACAAAGCAGTGATTGACATAACCATTGACAGATATCATCTACACATGCATTAGCTGTTGCTTGTCACCCCCATCTTGCACCTTCTGTTTTGGTTGTCATCAAGAGCTAATATTCAAGTTGTCATACAAACCTTAGCTTCATACAGGAGAGGTCCATGGAAGCACAACACCTTTTCTCCTTTTAAAAATAGGAAAGCAATATGTTAACAATGTAAAAGAAAAAACTTGATGCAACAGTTCATGCACATCCCTAATAGTTCAACTATACTATTCACACTTTGCTAAGGATCAAATCATGGATTCAACAGAAAACTATGATGTGGGGTCAAATTTGGTTGAAATATCTAATGCCTATTGTAAGCATGGATCCTAAGTTTCAGTATGTCATTTCATCTTGTGAATCCATACCTGCTATTGACAGGTGTTGTGTACTTTTCAATGACTCGTTCCATGATTCATGGTTGATTGGTGCCATGAAAACCATTTTGATGGTTACTCATGTATCAAGTGCATAAGGTTAGATTAAAGTGACTGTTTGCCTAAAGAGGGTTACCATATTATTATTTTTCCAGTTTTAAATGGATACAATTTCAAATTATGAATCTACATTTAAGTAAAGTTGTGAATTTTTGTGATCCTTAGCAAAGTGTGAGTAGTATAGTTATCATGAAGGCACACACAGTGATGACAACCACCTGATATCCAAACCTCATGTTCATCAAGTCAATACTATTTCCATGTTCTATTTGGAAAATGAAAACAGTTCAGGCATCTTAAACACAGATAACGTCCCATGAAATGACTTGTGTTGATAAATAGCTTGCAGGTCTGAAGTAAAAGTTTACAGCCCAGACTTTAAGGGTTTTTTTGTTTGTGAAATAGTGAAAACCACACATATTGTATATTTTCTTTGAAAGGCATTTTAGAAGTTGGATAGATGAAGGAAAACCAAGTTCTATGGATAGTCAACTTCTTTATTGCAATGGGTGCGACGTTTCACTATTAGCAATCCAATGTATATCAACCTTGTCAATTGAATATACACACTATGCAGCTATGTATATTTTCTCCATGGTACAACTCTATGTATCACTTGCTTTATAATGGTGTTAGTACCTACACCGAAACGTTGCACCCATTGCAATAAAGAAGTTGACTATCCATAGAACTTGGTTTTCCTTCATAATCATATTGTATATTGTCAAGACAAAATATCGAGGAATGTATACAACAACCTAAAGTACTGTCGGAAATGCTAGAAAAATCCTTTTTAGCCTTAATATCTTTATAAAGGTGATAAATATACTATGTTGTCAATATATCAACTCGCCTATTGTCTACCTAATTTTTATTGCAATCGATTTAACATTCCGATGCATTTAAAGGGCAGTTTACAGGAGAGAATTTGGTACCAAAACAGCAACTTAAGATTTTTTTCAGAGTTCAACAACAGAAATCTGAAATAGTCTTTACATTTATGCTAATAATACAGGTGGTGTAAAAATATGAATTAACGTTTTTCCTAAACAAATAAATGTTGAATGTTTGTTTTACTTTACTTAATTATCGTTTTCTTTATTGAAGAAATATTAATATAAATGTTAAGTCTTGATAAATAAGTTTCCGTCATGCATGCACATCTTTATCACAAGCGTCCACTATGGCCAACGATTTGCATTCCATTGTTGCAAAGGTTTATAGTTTTTTCTGCTTAAAAGACAGAGGTAAACCTTTCATTAGTTTAGAAAGGGTTAATTACAGACCGTGTAGAGCTGTTGGCATGTCTTACCAACAAGTTTACAATATTGTAAACAAATCAGTCAAGACAGGGACCGTCTCAAATGCAAATCCGGATCGATAAAACCATCCTTGACAACTTTGACAAGGGAGTGCTTAGACGGGCGGTCTACAAACTTTATGAGAAGAAAATATATATATTCTAAAGAAGCTACACCAGTGACCGTTAAATCTTTGGCCAATGTTCACAACTAGATTAAACTGACCGAATTACATCCATATTTTTCATTGAAATAAACTGTTGACATGCAAAACATTAATTAAAAGCGTTGCACATTTCTACAATCAATGGATAAAATAACACAAGTGATAGGATTCTTTCAATGTGTACAGTAATTCGTATGTTTATTTCAAAACATACACACATACACAAATGATCCCTTACATAACTGATAATGTGATACTATAATGCACACATATTCAACATTTTGCAGAAAACATCTATTGAGATGACCTCGCCCGGCGTGTGCTCAGGTGTCAATTTCACCTGTCGATAGCGTGCATGCTGATGACGTGAACACAGGCAGTTAATGTTTTTTTCAAATAACGTCCCACTATCCCTTATTTTTCTAAGTTTTTGGTATTTTCATCAGTAAAAACACATTTTAGAGCATGTCTCAAAATTTATTCCCTCGGTCTACATTAGGTAGATGTTTCTTGAAGTGATATTTGTTATTTAAGTAACTGTAATACCTCTGAATTTTAAATATAAGTCAAAAAGCATTTTTCTAGCATTTCCGACAGTACTTTAGAAGATATTTTCACTGAGACTGAATAGTGTCACAAGTTGGATTTTAACATTTAGGGAGTAGTGCACTTTAGCGGGCGCGCTTTCTCAGATTAATTAACACTGCTGGGGCTCGAACAAGCTCCAGCCGGATTACTGACTAGTGACATAATTACAGACACTCCAGCACAGTTAATGAGTGCTCGTTTAACGGGTCATTAGCACAGCAGTGAGGCGCATGCACCTTACTATGCCACACCCTTCCTATTCACTTCTTTTTGAGCCTACCCGTGAAGGTCTGGGTTAGAATGAACCTTCAGTAACCCATGTTTGTCTTAAGAGACCACTAACGGGATCGGGGTGTCAGGCTTGCTGGCTCGGTTGCCACATCATGACATGTCATCGGTTCCCAATTGCGCAGATCGATGCTAATGCTGTTGATCACTGGATTGTCTGGTCCAGGCTCGATTATTTACAGACGCTGACCGCCACCATATAGCTGGAATATTGCTGAGTGCAGCGTAAAACTAAACTCACTCACTCTCTTCAAGCCATTGTTTCTGGGACTGTACTGAGGAGTCCCGGATGGAGCAAAATGTATTTCAATTGGATATAATCGGATGACACTGCCGTAATATCTGTCTAACACGCAATGTGTCATAAATAATGATATATCGAGAAGGCCATATGTCATGTAGAAATCAGCATTTTGGTAATAATCTACTGGATGATTTTTAATTTTGTGGGGTTTTTGTTTTGGCAGAGATCATTTAAATGTTCAAGACAAAAATGCACAAGGATATAGGATGTGTCATAAAAAATATGATAAGCAACAGGGAGTTTGTAATCGTTTCCATTAGGGACCGGTCATACTTTATGGCTAGAGGGGTGATGATGATTTTTATGGATCGAGAAGCATGCATGTACAATGTGAATGACCCCCCCTAAAATTTATGTACAAAATAAGTGACCCCCTCGTCCCCATTCCCACAATTTCTAGGCATAATATTAACATTTTTTTATGTACAAAATTGCTTCCCCAACCGTGATATGTGTACTAAATTGCTCCCCCTTTAGCTCCCCCAGAAGAAAATGGGTGACCCCGGTTTACATCATCATCACCCCCTAGCCATAAATTATGAACAGTCCCTTACATTCCACACTCATTACCCCATTAAACAGGGTCAGTAATGCTTCACACTCTTGCATTTACAATGTCAAACAGACAATTTGGTTGGCATAATGCCAAAAGACTGTTGATATCACAGAAACTGAACTACTGTTGATGGAATCAATAAATTCACCTCGTTCTCTCTTGTTATCAACAGAACCTCTCAGCTGTATCCATTGAATAGATTCCTGCCAAAGTTTATGACATTTAACAAAGGTCATCTCTCCATTGACCAAGTCACCTAACATTGACATGCCATACAGTATTTTACTCTGCAGAGATGTATTCCTTAAGCATGCAAGAATGTATGCGTATGAGCTTTACCAAAGTGAACTTAAGGCTGGTGACACTTTTTGAACTCTTCCTACAATCTGTTTGATTTCATTTGAGTCCGATGAATTGCCCACTAACACAAAATCTAATAATTGCAACAAAACCAAATTTTGCACAGTCACATGAACTCGACAGACCAACTCTGATGATTTATCTCATAATTTGGGACACCCGGAAAAAAAAGTTGTTTAACTAATGATCATTATTTTTTTGTCATTTTTCGCTAATTTTTATGAGGGGGACCACTTGCTGGTAGAACAGCCAGGTAATCAAGAAGCGTGTGCAGTGAAATTTCAATTTCACACGTGCAACTCGCACACCTTTATTGCAATTATTAGATTTTGTGTTAGTGAGCAATTAATCGGCCTCAAATGAAATCAAACGGACTGTACATTAATCTGACACACCATGATATAACAGAAACATTGTTCAAAGGCGAGTTAAACCCATCCAGCTCAAATATTTGTAAATAGTTCTTTCTTTGCTTCAGTATGTCTAGCATGCCTAAGTCATGGCAAACCGAAGATCTTTAAAAGGGGTGCCAAGTGAGAACTTTCACAAATGGCTGGATGGTGTATCAAAGACGTTTCTGCTTCTCTCCAATGACCAAAGAAATAAGACACTGGACCAACTGATAGACTGCAGTGGATCTCACCAGCTGAATCACCTGTCAACTCGGTTACCTCAGCTTCTGTACAGAGACTATATCAATCTTCTACCTCAGGAGGTGGGTCATCCCCTGGGGATTCTGGGTTAGAACTTGTCCTCAGTGACTTCATGGATTGGAAGGGGCGGTGGGGTAGCCTTGTGGTTAAAGCATTCGCTCGTCAGGCTAAATGCCTGGGTTCAATTTCCTACATGGGTACAATGTGAGAAGTCCATTTCTGTGTCCCCCGCCATGATATTGTTGGAATATTGCTAAGAGTGGCGTAAATACCAACTCACTCATGGGTTGGATGGGTCCGACTCTGTGACTCCGTGCTGACAATGCATCCTACCCTGACATTGTAAATTGTTGCTCACAGTATACATCACTGGATTGTCTGGCCCAGAGTGGATTATTTGCAGGCTGCCATCATATAGCTGGAATATTGCTGAATACATCAAACAAAAACCACAAACATGTTTTTTCATATCACTATTGTATTCTGTATTGTCTTGTAAAAGGTCTTTTCAACTGGGATCTTTTGTGAAAGTGAAGTCTGTCATACAGACCCTGAAACAAATATATCCATGAAATCCCACGCAAGTCTAGATTATGTGGCAAGCCTAGATTTCCACAGTTTCTGAAAATGAAGAGAGCTCCTTTGAATTATATTTTATGATTATAATTTAGGAACTGTTTTTCCCTGTAAAATATTTTCATATCAGAGAGTAGATGTTAGTGTAATTACAACCATGACAGGCGCTCAGTATAAACAAAAACTGGTTGACTCCAAGCGAGTACTAGGTAAAATGTGATGATGATATTATTTTCAGGATGCCATGATATTACTGATACGGCTAGGTGCTGCTGGAACAAATGTTAATGTTGCCACCTCTCCCACCAGGTTACATGCCACATCCTGCAGTATCTGCCAGGACACACTCTACTGGAGTGCTGCACCGTCAGCCGAACCTGGAACACCGTCATCCAGGGGGCAGCACGGGTATGGTGGATGAAGGCGATACAGAGAGGGGCTGGCGATGTTGTGTACTATGGTGGAACAACCAGGAAGTATATGATGCTGTATCAACAGGTGGAGAAGCTCCTCAACAAATGTTGCCGGGGAAGCTGTTTTGTAGACCAGTCTCTGGAGGGGCACACCAACAGAGTGATGGCCGTGTGTTACAGGGATGGAAAAGTTGCAACAGGTACAACCAATATGCTAGTTATATTTACATACTAATTTTCCACAAGATGTGCTCGTGGGATTCAAGAAATGATTGAAAGGATTAGGTGGTTATTCTCTTGATGACTTTGTTTAATACATTGTGTCATATAAGTAGATTGATGCCCATGACGTCAAACACTGGATTGTCTGGTCCAGAATCAATAATCTGTTGTCATATAACTGTCATATTACTGACAACCAAACAGATCTTGTAAATGTTAGAGGAAAGTTAGATGTAAAATTACCATTCATCTTATATTTGTAAGTTTTTGATGGTGTATGAATGTACTTCAGTATGGTGCACTTCATACAGTATGGGGGCGGTGGGGTAGCCTAGTGGTTAAAGCGTTGGCTCGTCACGCCGAAGACCCGGGTTCGATTCCCCACATGGGCACAATGTGTTAAGCCCATTTCTGGTGTCCCCCGCCGTGATATTGCTGGAAAATTGCTAAAAGCGGCGTAAAACTAAACTCAGTCAGTCATACAGTATGTCATTGGTTCATAATTGTCCACTCACGTTGTGTCATGGTCAGATGACCAGACAGTGAAAGAGTGATAAGTGGTGGGGGCGTGGTGGGCGAGCTGGCTAAGGAGCCAGGCTAGTGATCCAGTGAGCTTGAGGTGCCGACATTGAGCCCACCTGTGACCGGGTGTAAAAACCTTGGAGTCAGCTTTGTGTGCAGACTCTTTCAGTGTTGCCACAACCCCTAGTGTACAGTACACAACCCTGTGCACTTAAAAGAACCCACGAATCCGTTGGTATATGACCAGATGGTGGCCACATGAATACGATGTGCAAACACCTAGTTGTGGGTACAGCAACGTGCAGTAAACTTGGACAAAGTACTGTGACTATGTCTCCCAGTCCACCCAGCTGTGAATGGGTACCTCGCATATAACACAAGCCGCAATAACTCAGTGCGCCTTGTGGCAGCAAGAGTTGTATGATCCCCAGGGAGTTGAGATTGATAATAAGATGTGCCGTTGAGATTGTCGTCCAATCAAGGGGGAAAATACCAGGGCCTTGAGCATGCACTAGTGCGTGGATATGTGCGCTATATAAATATACTATAATAATGATAATAAAAGTAAAGTCTGTGTGTGTTATCACTGGTTCATAAATGTCCAATCACATTGTTTCAGGGTCAGATGACCAGTCAGTGCGAGTGTGGGATGCTCATACAGGCAGATTGCTGCATAAGATTCACACCCACACAGTGTCGGATCTTAAACTTAACGCAAAACACATGTATACTGCTTCCTTTGATGGCACTGTGGCATGCTGGGAGCTGTCGACTGGTGAATCGCATTACTGGTTAGTTGGTCACACTTCAGCAGTGTTCAGCATCGATGTTCATGAATCAGGTTTAGTAATCAGTGGGTCTTCGGACAAGACGGTGAAAATCTGGCATCGGCAACACGAGGAACCATACCTTCTTACCTCCTTAGAAGATTACCACTCTGAATGGGTCACAAAAGTCCAGTTCCTGAATACAGCAGAGTTGTCAAGTGATTTACTGTTTGCCAGCATTGATAAGCATATCTGCCATGTTTGGTGCACTGATGCTAAAGGGCATTGTGAGAAGATGTTTTCAACGAAGAAAACAACTGGCGTACAGATTACCTCCTTCTCCCACAGCAAGCCAGGTCGGTTCTACCTGTGTACATGGAAGGAGAGGGAGCTTTGTAACGAGATATTGACGTACACATTTACCAGCGACAGCCTCACACTGGTGTCCACCATGTCCCTGGGTGGGGACATGCCCCTCAGGTGTCAGCTGCTGGGGGCAGGGGACAGGTTTGCTGCCCTCACCAGCTCCAGTGAGATTAACCAGCTGTTTCTGTTCAGCTTTACTCAGTGTTGCTGTGTGGCAAAAATCAACATTCCTCTCTGTCGGTGAGTAGTGTTGGTGTGCTGTTCATAACACAGTCCCTAGTAGTCCATGCTGATCATCCGGGTTAGAATTGATCTTCACCAACCCATGCTTTTTGTTGAGAGTCAACTTAAGGGATCAGGTGGTCAGGCTTGCTGACTTAGTTTGACACATGTCATCGTGTTCCAATTGCGTAGATCAATGCTTATGCTGTTTTATCACTGGATATTCTAGTCCTGACTCGATTATATACCAACCGCCCCCATATAGCTGGGATACTGCTGAGTGTGGCATTAAACAACAACCAACCATGCTGATCATAAGCATGTTATAATTGTCTTAAAAGGAGATTTAGTATTTACACGGTGAGGTTCAAGCAATTATAACACTGCCTCCAGTATTCTGTGCGTATGTTAAGGATGTTAGGATTTTCTAAAGAGAAGACCGATTTGTCACTGTGTGCGTGAGATTCCATCTTCAAAACCAAGATGTTCTGTGTATCATATGCAATTTATGATTGTTTATAAAGAAGATTGAGCCAAAGGTCAGTAATCTCTAAAACTGTTTATCATGTGGAAGCCCATTCTTCTTCTTCCACAGTTTAAGTAAAGGAATGTGAATTTGGAACATAATCTTGAATTTATGTTTGTAAACTGACTATTCCAGGTTTACCCGTAATGTGAATTTGGAACATAATCTTGAATTTATGTTTGTAAACTGACTATTCCAGGTTTACCCGTAATGGTGCTACCTTGACCCTCGGTGAGCAGTCTTGGCTTGATGGATTCAGTGGGACACCACCAGAGGGCACTGTCATGGCAGCCTGTCTGCAGAACTCAAGTCACGTCATGCTGCTGAACTGGAAACTCTGACCACACACATATATCAGACTATTGCTAATGTGGTCAATTGTGTCTGAAATAACTCAAATGTACGACTAGACAGTGAGTGAGTGAGTTTAGTTTCATGCCACACTCAGCAATATTCCATCTATATGGCAGAGGTCTGTAAATAATCAAATCTGGACCAGACAATCCAGTAATCAGCATCATGAGCATTGTTCTACGCAATTGGGGTACAATGACATGTGTCAACCAAGTAGGCAAACCTGACCACCCGATCCCGTTAGTCACCTCTTGCGACAAGCATGGATTACTGAAGATCAATTCTAACCCGGATCTTCACGGGTCCTGTAGGAGAGATGTTGAACTGACAACAAGAGGCTCTTAGGGGCTTACCATTTAATATTCTGTGGTGGTGATGGTGGTGTGTGTGTGTGTGTGTGGGGGGGGGATTGTAAAGAGAATATTTTTAAAGAGAAAATAGGTTCCAGAAAATGCTGATCAACCTTTCACAGACATGCTGGATGCTATGGAAAGTATGAGGTGGCTGGTCATCCTGTCAGTTAGTGTGTTTAGATGAGTGTGTGAAGAGTCTCAGATGAATAAATCCCATTATTTTCAGCAGAGGTCGTTAACTGAGGGGAGACCACCCAGTCACCCTTGAGACCATCTAGTACACCGTACTTAGTCTACAGCACTGGTCTCCCTTTGTCTTCTCAGTTGATCAGATCATTCATCCAAGGCTGCAGTTGAACTAAATGAAGATTTTTTTCTCAAATATGACATTATGTCCTGTATGAACAAAATGTTATACTTTTGGCCACATGCTTCCTTCTCCATCAGGGAAATGGCCTGATTTCTTCATCAGACTACCCTTAGACTCTGGGCTTGCCCCAGGTCATTGAAATCAGATCCTTTAAACAAATCATGAAATAGTATATGTTTCATGCTGATTTCACAAATGAATTTCTGTGTGAGAGCAAGAGTCATACATGAATTGATACAAGAATTTTGTGAAATCAATGTGGCACTCATTAGATTATATAATAGCTTCTTTATTACCCATTGTTTGTGAATCCCTTTGAGCCTTTCTTTAGAAAAATGCACTGATCATGACCACCATCATAGTAAACAACAATTGTCAATTCACATCAAGATTCTTCCACAAGTAAATCATGTATTTTCTGATGTCATTCTGACCTTACATCACAATAAGACTTGACTTAATTAATTAATCGATCAATTATGCTGTCTGGATGATGTAAACAATACATCGGGTGCACTTGAAGTGATATTTGAACTAGTGAACATACAATATTTTTTAAATATGTCATGATGCCACTGTGAGTAAAGATCTGACAAGCTATCCCATGAGGTCATGTCAGCTGAACAATGAGTCGGTTTTGCCATCTCGGTATAAATGAAGGATGCACATGTTCTTGTGGAGATCAATGTCAGCTTTCTGAAAGAACTTCGAGGCACTTCGAGGGTACTCCCATGGTTGAAATGCCATGATTCCTAGAAGGAAGAGGATGTATAATATATTCAAAATAATCTAATCATGCAGATTTGGTGGCCATTTCGCTACATTTCCAAATCATATTGTAGTGACTGATCTGATTTTAATGAAATTGCTCTGTTGGTAAATTACTGGTAGGTGTCCAAGTTGAATGTCTTGTCATTCATGTGGTACAGACTGATCAAAACCTATATAGAGAATCTCACCCATGTGTCTACTGATATCAATTATATCAACACGAGTTGATAAAGTTACAAATATCCGAGGCTATTGATAGCAGTAGACACGAGGGTGAGATTCTATTTATCATCAAAAATCATTCTTCATTAGTTTTCAATGAAAAATGTTCATCTCTCATCACTGTACTACCATTAGACTTGCTGTTCAGTGATGTCATAGCATTGTGACGTCATCAAGTTGATGATGTCATAGCACTGTCAGGGCATTGTACAAAATCTACTGTCATATGATCTCACACAAGCGATATCTCCTGTAGAACACAGTTTTGGATGATAAATGATTGTATTACTACTGTTTACTATACAAATGTATTTACAATATGTTGATTTATTTTTTACTGTTGAAATGATATGTGTGTGATAATTATATTGAATAAAATCACATTATAAGGAAAGTGTATTTTCGGTTCTCAGTATCACTTTCTAATTTACAAAGTCACAAAATCAGTTTCATTCTATGAGCCAACTTCATGCCATATAAGACAATATTAAGGATGGTACCAGAATCTGTTACCATGTGCATCTAACTGGTATTCAGGACATTCTGTTTCTGTGGTGCCAATGTCATGGAGTGGATTGGGCAGAGTAGACATACATTTAGAAGACAGAAGACAAAGGACTGTTACGGAAGGAGGATTGTCCCTACCAGGATGTTTATAAAGACCTCTTGTTTCTGCGCATTTGTGATTCACACTGGGTGCATTCCAGGTTTTGAGTTGGTCCCAAACAGCATTTTCGTTGTATAAAGATTTGATTGTCAGGAGCACTGTTGATTGAGTCCAGATTTGTATTATATGAAGCTCATGTACTTGCTATAGTGTTGAGTGTAGCACTAACAGCAGTGAAAACTTACATTAATTTATAAATACTTCTAAAAAAGTCTATTTCCCAGATAGCATTCAGACGTTGGCCAAACGTTTGCAATGGTTTTGCCAACATTGCCAACTTTCGGCCAACGTCCGAATGCTATCTGGGTTATTATCTAACCAGCTTTCATGATCAAATCATGATCGTTAATAAACATCTTTACAAAAACAAAATTAAAACGTTCATACTAAAACAGAAGCAGACGTAGCCAACATTTTCCTAAATACATCGAAACTTTTCTGTATTGATGTCAAAGGAAGTTCAATCTAGTCTTGTGCATAGAACCTCTTTAGTTTCATTCTTCCCAATTCCATATATTCAGCCTATTCTGACATGCTCATAAAACAATGATCTTTACGTTGGTGGATTTGTGCAAATATTTTCTTTTCCCTCCTGTTTATATTCAAGGAAAGATAGAGAGCACATGAACAAATACTCTGGGACCAAAGTCCTGACTGATGAGTGAAACTTCTTGACATCAAGAATAACATTTGCACACACTGTTGATGAAATATTAATTTGTGATACGCGAAAACCTAATGACTCCACTTTGGGAGCATAATTGAATGGTTTCTTTATTTCAAATATTCATTTTTAAATATTTCAAGTTACACATGTCATCGTATCCCAATTGCGTAGAACGATGCGTATGATGTTGATCACTGGATTGTCTGGTCCAGACTTGATTATTTACAGACCGCTGTCATATAGCTGGAATATTGCTGAGTGAGGCGTAAAACTAAGCTGACTCTTACTTGGTGTTATTATTTTTATTTTTTTATTCATTTACATTTTTATCTTCTTAGGAACTCGTATCTATAAACTATCGGAAATAATGGAAGTAACAAGAAATAAACCCAAATAATAATAATTGAAAACGAGAAATTTTGGATTAAGAAAAAACAAATTTTCACATAAACTTGCCTTTTACGGCGCTTCATGTCCATTTCATGTCAAAGATAATGGCGTAAAATAGTTACTACTATTGATAAACTTATCTAGTGATTTGAAGATTGGGCATTTGAAAGTATAACGAAGATGAATATAGTTTCCTGTTTGGAAATTTCAGGTTAAAATTGTTTAATGTCGTTTCAGCAAGGATAATATCATTTATGGCAGTGACCTTCACCTCGTAACATTTCCGGTCGTACACATGCGAGTTTTGAAACCTTTACATTTCGATTAAGTCATAATGAAAGAAGTGGAAAAGAAGGGATGTGAAGCGATATTGCGTAAACTTGACCAAGATGATGTAATGTTATTGAAAGATACTGTCACAAAACGGCAGATTGCAGCTGAAAGTAAAACAGGTTTGTAGGCAATACTCGGAGATATGGACTCGTACTTTCACTATGTTCTTGAACTTATTTATATCATGCTAGCGGCGATGAAACATTGCGGGTATGGATCGGAGCTTCCTCACTTGTTTCACGTAAGGTTGTGTATGTACGAAGTGCTGTCATTAGGCCCAGAGCGCAAAGGGTCCCCAGGCCCAAGCATGATGTGAATAATTTACCATAATAATAATAGTTTACTCTGGTGATATGAATTGTCTGGATTTACCTCAAGCTCAGTGTGCGAAATAGTTTCCAAATATTTCTAGCCTTTCGGGCTAGTTATGCCTGAAAGTTAATATTCCACAAAATAATTCCTTATAGTACTGTCGGAAATAGAAAAAAACTGTATTTTCTCATTTATCACTACAATTTATGTAGTTGATATGTGCAAGTGTGAAATATCTCTTAAACTAAGTTCGGCCTAACTACAGTCTCAATGGTAGGGACACAAGAAACGTAGAAAAAGGACTTTACTGAGGAGAGATTAGTGCAGAAATGAGCAATGCGATTTTTTTCTATGTCCAAAACGAATTATTTGGAACAGACCATGGCTGTATGCAAATTAGTGTGCGACGATATTGTATTATAAAGGACACTTTTTAAGTGACCAATTTGAAATTAGATGTAGCTTCATTATAAACGATAGCTGGCGTAAAAAATAATAACTTTCATGCTGAAACTATTAAGGATGTAGCTACCATTGAGTCTCACTGTCACTATAAAAAGAAACAGATAGGAGGGTTCGTCTCAAAAGCAAAACCTGGACGGGTGTCGCAGACGATCGTTGGGGTCGGGCTTGGGGATAGAGATATCAGCTGAGATACGATAATCCTTTAGGGGAATTATACTGGGGAAGTACACGGCATGTCATAACAATTTACAAATAATATCCAGTCCTGTCGATCTTCGCGATCGGGTGGTCATGCCAACTATATATTTTGAGACATTTAACACGATGCGTTTCTATGGTTATCAGGTATCAAACTCTGTTACATATTTCAACATAAACTTTATGAAAGAAAGACACTTATAAAAAACCCATATAAGCTGTTAATCAATAGATGAGGCATAGTCAACACACATGAAAAGCACAAAATATCTTTGAGATGACCCCTTGGGCGACTGTAGGCAGCACATGCATTTCATGTCAGGTGAGTCGACGGTCCGTCGTCATACCTGCCTGAGCGACCTAATTGCCATCCATAGTCTGATCTATTGTGTTCAGCAGATATTCGTATTTTTTCTAAGTTTTGCCCGATTTTACGAGTAAACATGCTTTTCTGGATATCCTATTACGCATCCCACTGAACGCCTAGTTAGGCCGAAGTGGATTATTTCGACATATGCTATTTGCATTTGTGTAAATTTTAGGGATACATTTTAGGGAGCCTAAAAACAGTTTTTTTCTATTTCCGACGGTACTTTTGCTTGAAATTTGGATGTAGAAACTGAGCTAAAGATTACAAATATAGATGGAAATAAGTTTTTGTCGGCATGACATGGGTTTCATCATTAAACTGCAGACATGATGAACATTTTTATCAGGCCATAATCTTGCATGATTTAAAAGTGTATTATAACTTAAAGGTCACATGCAACCAAAAAATCAAACATAATTAAAACACAATTATCACTTATTCAAGACATATAAGATACATTGCTGATTATGAAAAAACATATAAACAAAAATTATAACCGTACAATCGCAAATCAAAAGTGCAATATTTTGTACTTGGGTTTACTTCCCTCCAAACGAAGCAGCCAGGATACCAAACCCAGTCAGAGCGGATGGGTGTGCACTCCAGTGTAATGGCTGGTTCATTTGCAGATGCCCTCACGGCTCATTGTGTGTGTATATAGAGATGTTGGGTTTTGTAAATACATGCTCATATTTTGTGTATAACATTTTGCAATCAACAGACATCATAACATGTCATGTGTACAAGTATCACACCTGCCTGTCTGTGTAATTACATAATGTGACAGAGACCGAACTCGGGCCATAAATCAATGCGTTTTGTTTATGGTGTATAGCCTGATAGGTGTTCAGTTCAAATTGCATGTGGTCGTGATTGAAGTTGTGTATTGAATATTGTCATTAGCAGACATAGGTGTCAATAAGAGAGACATTGAGTTTTGTCTGTGACAACAACATATCTATATCACAGTTAGAAATTCTGTCAACTCTAAATAATGACATTGCTTTTAAGTATCGAACTGAGAAAGTGACTCTGTAAGAAGAACGTATGGTGAAATAGACAAATGAAATTATATAACTTGTTTGAATGGCATTTTTAGAAGTTGAGACGTACAATATGGAACACGTTTTTATGGATCACAACTTCTATATTTCGTGAGTGCGACGTTTCGATACAGGTTCTTGTACCGTTGTCAAGCAAGAGTGATACATGAAGTGGAGGAGCTGCATATATATACTGTATATAACAATGAAACAACATACATTGTAATTTACAAAGGAAACAACATAATTGCCATAATTGGTTAAGCAGTAAGCTGATGAAGCCAGTGAGTACACAAAGGATAGTGAATGGAAGCCAGAGATGTATGAATACAGGAGTAGTTACAATGAAGGAGATGTTTATACAATAGGTGCGATGTTTATACAATAGATTGGGCTTGGTGGAGGAGTGGATCATAAGCTGATGGAATGAAGTATCCTTGGTCACGGTTGATGGTAGGCTTATGGCGTTTGATGTGAATGGCTTCGGTGAGCTTGCGTTTAGTGAAGTCCGTTTGGTTGTTGGCGAGCACATCAAAGCATGTTGTTTCCTTTGTAAATTACAATGTATGTTGTTGCATTGTTATATACAGATTATATATGCAGCTCCTCCACTTCATGTATCACTCTTGCTTGACAACGGTACAAGAATCTGTATCAAAACGTCGCACTCACAAAATAAAGAAGTTGTTATCCATAAAAACGTGTTCCATATTGAAATTATATAAACAGTTAAATCGATATTCTACTGTCATAACATATAAAAAGCTCGCGCCTGTGAAATATCAACTAAACATTAGAAAAATAGCTCACACCAAAGCCTTCACCGAGTATTCACCGCCAGCGAAGGTTTTCAGTCTTGCAATGTCGAAAACCTCACTGGTTGACACATAGCTGAGTAGATCTAGATCCTAACAAGGTTCTTTTATGTAATGAGTAGATTATTTATTTTATTTTTTTATTAGACTACTCCTGCTCACGACCTTATAATCCGGACGACCCACTTCCAAGCTGTGTGAACCTATTTCACTGCGCAAGTGCTATGAGCGCAGCCCAGCTGTTGAAACCACTTTTTCCCCCAAGCGCTGGGGGAAAATTAGTGAATCGTTTGAACTCTTGATTTTCGCGCGTTTTTTTCAACACGTTATTTTTCAACTTTATAAGTTGATTTTGCATTTTTGATGATTTGTTTCGGCAAGTCCATACCGAAAGGTGTCAGAATCGGCAAAGTTGTGTTTTACGTTGCATGTGACCTTTAACATTCTAAATAACATGTCTGAGAGAGTGGACCACCTCCGTGGTGTAGTGGTTAGAGCATCCGCCCAGAGAGCGGAAGGTCGCGGGTTCGATCCCCGACTGCGTCATACCAAAAGACGTTCACATATGGTACTTGTTGGTCCCTGCCAGGCGCTCGGCATTAATGGGTACAACAAGGACTGGTCGGCTCGGAGTCAATATAATGTGTCTGAGTGGGGTATTCATGCTTCACTGCGGTATGGTGTCTCAGTGGGCTAGCACTATAAAACCAGCTTAAGTCTGGGCTAGTACAAGCAGCCACACACACACATACACACGCATGCACGTCGTCATATGAAATAAATATTCTCAAACACGACGTAAAACCCAATTTCACCTCACCTCACTCTGAGAGAGTGATGTATTTACAAAATGACCCCATGAAATTTCACTAGCCAGTCGCCCAAGTGACTGGAGATTTACTTGCCCAACTGGACTTTTACTAGCCATGGGTTTAGCGTGCCAGTGGCTATTTCACACACTGCCTCAAACTACACTGTATTAGTTGGTTAAAAGATGTGATCTGGTTAACCTTAACCTGATCATGCTGGTGATGTTAAAGGATAGTGTCCCCAGTCACCAGGATCAGACAAGGATGAGTGGCTTACACTTCACTTACAGTTACAATGCACACTTCATGGTAACTCAGTGCCTTGTCTAACATGGTGGAATTACATGGCATTGCATGTAGTTCTCTTATCAACACAGACCTATTGCAAGAAATGTTAATATTGTATTTGGCATTGGACTTATACAATATTTGTGTGGTTACACTCTTATAGTAATGCTATTAAACATTTTCAGAATATATTTCATCTCTAGATAGCATTGCCTTCTTTAACATCTTAACATCTTCTACATTATGGTGGCTGTACCCCCAAAGGGGGTTAAAGTACTGTAAAATAATTGTCCTCCTGAGAGGGTACGTAAGTCCCAAAACATTCAAAGTAAATTTAAACCTACTACCATTTTAATTGTAGAATATATGTTCGTTTAATTTGTGGCTAGGTTATCTAAAATTGCTAATAGCTGAAGGGATGATGTAAATCCAGCTAGCGTCCATGCAGGAAGCAAATGTACTGTAAGTCCCCATGGTCCCTAGTATGGTGATCTACCTTCGGTTGTTGGCATTACATAGCCTGTTTTTACCTTGTATTGTCATCTATAGTTAAACTGTTTTAAATTTAATTACTAGTTTTAAATTCGAATCTGTGATAATCTAGTTATTTTACTGTCCTTCGTTGACAGGTTTTTACAATTTACCATTATTTACTATGTTTAAAATTAATTGTTCTCGTCAAGATATGGCTGAAATACTGCCAATGTGACGATAAATTTTAACTCACTCACTCAATTCTACATTATTTACCATTCGGATGGAAATATATTTTTCAGAAGCCATTCGTGCTATAATAACATACAGTGAAACATCTGCTGAACTGCTGAGGAGGAAGAAGATCCGCAGGGAATTGCTGTTCCAGTACCTTGATGACAACAATGTTCCAGTCTCGGTCAGTGCTGAAAAACAACAGTTAGTCTTCAAAATACTGGAGTTCTGGGGTGTCAGTATTACTAATGGTACACCAAACAAACAGGTAAGACATAGTTATGAAACACGACAGATCTTGTATATGTTCATGGTATGACCTATTAGTTACTCCCAACTTTCTGGTTTGTAGATAAAGCTGTGAAGTTTATCATTACTGGCAAAACACTACCTTCTTTATCCTATTTTAAGTTGGAACATTGAAAATATTTCTGATGTCTGGGGTGGTGGGGTAGCCTAGTGGTTACAGTTTTCGCTTGTCACACTGACAACCCAGGTTTGATTCCCCACATGGGCACATTGTGTGAAGCTGATTTCTGGTGTCCATAATGACATTTCTGGAATATTGCTGAATGTGGCATAATATTAAACTTACACACTTTGATAGTTTATGGTGTGCTTTACATAAATGCAGCTGAGTCAGTATCTATGGTTATGATTGTCCTGCGTTAATAGTTTGACTGCAATCAAGAGAAATCTGTCGCATTCACCATGGTGACTAACTTGTATGGATTTTTACAAGATTGTGACTGGTCATAGAAAATTCAGGATTTGTAATGAGCTATGTTGTTATCTGCTTGTTTTACAGGCTAACAGTGCAGGTGGAGACTTCAGTCATAGCACAACAGAATGTCAGACAGATGTTCTCAGCAGGGCGTCCAGTGGTACCCAGTCACCGCCTTCAGGCTCTGAAGCCAAACACTCCATGGCAACCCAAGCTGGAGAAACTCCTTCAGGTACACAGATTCAGCTGCGACAACGACATCAGCCTGTTCCAGTACCTGTTCCTTTAGTCCTTGACCTTCAGGGCGATGAATCATCTGCTGTGGTCATCCAATCAACTGTTACATCGAGATTCCAGTCGAGACCTGATTATCAAAAGCTAGGAGAAACGTTTGCATCATGGTTCTACAAGATACTGAACTCACACAATCCGTCATTGAATCAGGTTCCTGAGGATTTTGGTCCACATCACTTCTGGAATGATGTGAAGTTGTATCTGTTGACTCAAACCCCTCATGAGAGCAGTGAGGAATATGATGGTGGTGTATTGGTGGCGAAGAGGTTTTTGGCTTTAGTGAAGGAAGAGCAGCTTCTGTTCAATCCTAACATCACTGGCGATGGGGTGCAAGTCAAGTCTGACCCCCACGGACTGGTCATAGTCATGGTGTGTGGAACAATTCACAGGAGTAATGATTGTCTTGGGGTCTTCCAGCAAATGTTTGGGTTAATCGGGGATCCCAGATATGACAACAACTGGAAGGTGAAGGTCACTAAGCTGAGGATTCGGAGCAGTCAGGTGACTTCTATCCCACGACTCCAGGATAGTGACAATAATGACTTGTTGGCTGTCATACCCTCATCCAACACATGATGGATTTAGATCACATTAGTGCCAAGTTGTGAAATGATCATGTGGATATGTTGGCGGATGCATGTTGAACCGGTCCCAGGAACTTCAAACTTATTTATACATTTGTCTAGGTCAGTGAACTCTTTGTGTGTATGGTCACTGATCTTGATGGAGTGGATTGTTATCTGCTTCTGGTTTACAGAGACCAAGCTTGATTTAATGTCAGGTAACTGTGGTAGCGGTGACTACAATATGTTTAACCTGAAGTGACTATAAAATGTGATACATGTTTGTAGAACAAACTTTATGGATAACAACTTCTTTTATTCGTGTGTGCGATGTTTCGATACAGATTCTTGTACCATTTGTGGTGTATGGCCCCAGTCACTGATCAGAACTTGTTGAAGGAGTTGTGAATCCACTGCAAGAAAAGACCTGTTTGCTTTTCAGTGTAATTGATAACACTGACTTATACATATATATTCCAGGCTTGGGTAACCCAGTGGATGTGCCCTTCAATTGTATTGGCTGCTACTGTGATTTCAAATCTCCGGGTTTGCACTGTCAGTGATCATTGGTGCTTTTAGTGAACAGTTATACCCTGCACATGTTGGTCTTTTCTCACACATAGGGTATAAAATTAACACATAAGAACAGTACTTACTCACTCACACTTAAAATAGCATTGTCAAGGATTTATCTAGATCATCTCTGAGGTGAATAATAATAGTAGTAGTAATAGTGATAATAATAATAAGGATTTAATACTAGGTGTTATTTTGTTGAGTCCAATTTCAAAATACAGTGGTAAAAATTTCAAAATACAGTGGTAAAATATATCTTCATTTAAGAAAATGAGCTTTAAAATCCCATCTTTGAACAAAATAACAACTCTTTTGTAATTAGTCTGCTAGGGGCTCTTCGTTTAGAATCTGATCGAAAATAATCGAAAATCGATGGAAAGAAGGATTAAAAATGATGATCGATTGTAAAAAACATATTTTCAATTATCAGAATTTGGTTGTTTTAGTATAACACTCCTGAATGAATTAAGCTAAACATTAAATTTGACGAATATTCACGAACAAACATGCGCTCAAAAACGTAACGCTATGCGCATTGTAAAATTTTAACCACTTTTATTGTTTAATTACAATTCCAGTGTCTTTCTTGCATGTGTGCATTTTATTTCATGACAGTATTAGTTATAAAAAACATTAATTAGAAAAAACCTGGGGGAAATATCCTTATAATTGGTGATTTCATTAAAAATGTATATATTTCAATGATAATCGTTCACCTCAAGTCGATTCGCCACATGGGTACAATGTGTGAAGCCAATTTGTGGTGTTCCCCTCCGTGATATTACTGGAATATTGCTAAAAGCAGCGTAAAACTATACTCACTCACTCACCTCAAGTACTCTGATAGTGGTTTTGGTTTCCGATTCCCAACACTGATTCCATGTGTGTAGCGCTTTTTCACACTGACATATGCTCATAGCACTTACAGAGACAAAATCACACATTGTTCTTAAAAGACATGCCTTCAGTTGGGCTTTGAAAGTGTGTTGGGATTTAGAGTTTTTCAAGGTATCTGTAATTTCATTCCATTTCACCGCAGCTGTCTAAATGTCTTCAGCTTGAATCGTGGAATATCCACTGGGTTGTTCAGGCTGGATCGCAGACATCGGGATGACTGTTACCGTGACAGAAGTTCACAAAAAGGATTCTGGTGTAGATTCATTTACACACTGATATGCCAGGCCAAGGATTTTAGAATGAACCTGGGCATGAACAGGTAGCCAATGTTATTAACTTATGACATGGTTTTTATCATTTATGTCAGTAGACTGTGGCACCTTAATCACCAGTATCAAACCGACTGACAACATTTTGTGTTATATCTGGTTCGCATCATATTTGCAAAGATGATGAGGCTGTTATAGTTTATAATCATGAAGGTAATTTTAATCTGTGTAAGCGTTGGAAGCTAGAACTGTGTTTCCATTGTTTGACAGTGTTTTGTTTGTATTGCCATGATTACTGTTGGATTAACCATTAAGTTCGCTGTATCAATGCTAGAGTTTATCAGTTTAAATATCAACTGGAACAAGTTTCCTAGGATGTGAGAGAAATGAAAATATATGAACTAAAAATAAGTGCTTCACCATGTGCTTCTCACCTGGCTACATGATTCCGTTTCATAAAAATGGTTAAATATTGTGGACAAAAAATGAAATCTAAAAACATTGTAAAACTATTTCAAATTAGAAAATATTTTTGCAGAGACCATACTTGAAGACCATATGTTAGAAAAATGAGAAAATAGTTCACCTCTATTTGCATCATATCCTTTCTATCTTTAGTTAACCTTACATGAACGCTGGTAACATTTTGGCCGAAAAGATTTTATATCAAAGTATATGGTGGCCATGAAGATGTGTAAATGACAATGAAATTATGCAAAGATAATGTAAAGGCCTGCTCTTTGAACTGTAATAATGAATGCATTTGCTACAATCTTCATAGGATTACACTGCATGGGTACACTCACCCAAATGATATTGATTTATGTTTTGTTATTAAGGTGTAAGATGTCTTGTAGTCAATACTGCCAGATGTATGTTCTTTGTTGTGTTATAAAGAATATTAAGTTTTGCATTAATCGTGTGTTCTTACATTATAGTAGTATTTGTTTTTTCTCATTGTTCAACACTGCTGTCAGCAGTTTACAAGCGATATCAGGACGGTTGGTAAATAATCACGTCTGGACCATACAATCCAGTGATTGAGATCCTGACATCTATGTATAGAACTGGGCTATGATGACATGCACCAACCAAGCCAGCAAGGTAGACCATCCGTTAGTCACCTGTTACTACAACCGCTGTTTTTTTAATTCTTACCGGAATCTGCCCAGGTAGCTACTACTCAATCATGTCATCTACCTGTATATTTTTCTTTTTGAAATGATCCATGGGATATTACTTTTCTTGGCTCATTTAGGGATTCCGGGTAAGAATGCATGAGCAGCAATCTCTATTCGTTAAAATAGGTGACCAGATCCATGCCTGTTCAGTTGGACAGTTGCAGTGACTTGGTTGATCTTATTTTAATGTACGTCAGCAATCACTGGATTGTCAGGTCAATACTCGATTACTGATTAGTCCACATCATGTTGCTAGTATAGTGCAGTGTGCGCCATTTCTGATACAAAATACGAAAACAAATCTACCCCTTGATACTGCTTCGTCCTTATATCATTTTTCGAGAGAATATTGTTTCAACCTTGCTCTTGAAACTTTAGTGAATGTCTATGGTGTCCCTTAAGGCAGATGACCATAAATACACGAATAATATTAACAGCTTTATAGCCCAAGTTATTTCAGCAAAATAGTTGAATATGTCTACACTTAACAATATTTACTGTAATGAGTGAAGTTTCACATCCACTGATATTTGTTGAAATTTGTGTCAATCCCTAAGTTTTCAAACCTGTAATGAAACATGCTGTGTTTTCAATGACTCTCATCTCGATCCAACTACCAACACTTACATATACCTGGTGTGTAATCTTGAAGCAACTGTCGATGATCCGATGCTACTCCGTTGTACACAATACCTCATGAGCTGCTGAACAGTAAACACTCATCCAGTTGATTTCATTTGCAATGGTTGTTTCTTAAAAGTCGAAACAGTTTGCAGAGCTGCATCCGTTTGTTTTTTGCTTTGAATCCCGTTGTTATGTATCCAGTTTTGTCCGAACTGCACCCGTGGTCCGTTTCTTCAGGGGCGGTGGGGTAGGCTTATGGTAAAAGACCAGAGTTCAGTTCTCCACATGGGTACAATGTTCGAAGCACATTTCTGGTATCCCCGCCGTGATATTGCTCGAATGTTGCTAAAAGCGGCGTTAAACCATAATCACTCCTGTTTCTTCAGTGTTAAACGTCCAAAGCGTGCATCCCTTAGGGTGTTCGTCCCGAATGAAGCAGACACGCACGAGATATCTGTTCAACGCATCGTTAAATCCAACTCACTCACTCACTCCAGCGCCATACTTGAATCACACGGGTGAGACCTGACATCATGCCATTTATCCTCCATTTCCAAATATTGAGGTTCGATATCAGGCCAGCATATGTAGAATTTTAAGAATTCTTATCGCTCTCGGTCCGTTAAGATCACAAATTTAACTTAAGTGTTCATCTTACCCTGTTAACTGTTCACAGTTTAGTATAATTTTTGTTCACTATGTTTTCTTCATGCCACGCACAACAGAATGTGAAACGCTATGGAGTTTGGTAAAAAATGTCGTCCTTACAATAACGCCATATCTTTATCTGCACTATGCTGTGGAGAGGCGTGTGTTCTACGAAGACAACGGGCGTGTTCATACACCAGTCATTATTATGGCTAATTTGAAACAAGAGTTGACTTGAACTTATTTCCCGTTCGTGTTTCAATGATGAGAGAAATTACGTTAAATTTTTTTATGGATTTAATGTTTAAGTCTATACACGTGAATCTCAGAACGCATGAACAAAATGTGTCGCTTTGGACATTAGGCTTTTGTGCATTTTGTTTGGACCACAACGCGGTAAGCTACAATGTCCCTATGATACTAGCACCTTCGCAACAGTGCACTTTTCTACTGTCCTTGCGGAAACACAGAAACAAATACGTCGCTTAACAGCAATCTCATTTTAATCACTCGCTGAAAGCTAAGAAGCAGCCCCTACGACACACGTCGTATCATTCGTCACCACTCGCCCCTTTCCGTAACCTGCAAGAAGATTCGGCTTGTCCCGGAATAACACGAGTTGGTCACGAATGACGTCGTATTCCTACTGAGACGTTAGTGTTCACAATGCATGAGGCGAAAACACATCCGGCTGATGTGACGGTGTGATCTGCTTCTTTAATTTATTACAACTGTAGCGAGTTCGTAAATACCAACCTGCAGTTACACATGAAACGTATGACACTCAAAAAGATATTAAAGTTTCAAGTTCATATTCCTTGTGTTTCATCGAGTTTCGATCAAGACTCGTTTAAAAAATACTGCTTAAAATAATGGAAGTGTGAATGCATTTTTCCGTGGCCAAGACATGTGAGGTGTCAGAATCCACAGTCAGCGCTGATATGGTCTGGGGGTATCATGTGCCACTATTGATCACTATGAACCTCCTGCAGTAATTAGATGCGCTGGAATGAAACACAGGCCCCCACTGCAGGTCAGAAAATCGATAAACTAGGCCCCGGTAGGGGGTGTTGATACTAAACCGGGGCCTAGTTTATCGATTTTCTGACCCGCAGTGGGGGCCTGTGGAATGAAACACTAAGGAATAATAAAGAATGGGCCTCATTTAGTTTGACATTGTACAAATTGTGGTTTATAAAGCGAAGTAAATCTTTGCTTTATAATGGTGTAGTAAAACCATGCAAACATCAACATACAGAACCATTGTCTTTGTTTTGCTGTGACGGTGAGTGTGAAGAAACAAACTCAATTCTTCATGCCTGTCTTTAACACGAAGGGGAGACTCGCATCGTGACAATCCCAGGTCATGTTACATTGTCCTCCAAGAGTTCTCCCCCCTTCATCAGAAGTCCACCCCGTGGCTGAACCCGTATGTCCGTCTGATACTCTCCCTTGCTCCATTTGGGTTATTCTGGTAACAAAAATAAAAATAAACTCAATTTCGCCATACTTCCCTGATGAATATAAGCAGTTGCGGTGATATTTGTGGTACTAGCAATCATCCTGGACTAGATCGACATGGCAAGCCCAGTTGTCTATGTCTCCGCTATTCCCTGTGTTGAGTAACATCCCTTATGCCTGGGTTTAATATCTCAGATTCATCCTGGTAATGCTTCGTCAGCGCCATCCCTGTGTTCGGGAGTTTCACATCAGCGGTAAACGTCTTAGACCTTTGTCATTTCGTTCTTCTGATGCGCCGTGGTACATCTACGTATTTTCCAGAAGCCAGATCATTATGATTTTAACCTTTACCATCGACCTAGCGTTATTAGTATTGGCCAAATGTAGTTGTGTTTTAGCATAAGCAAACCCCTTCTACCTTACGCAATTGGGAACCATGTCAAATGAAAATGGTAAAATAAATAA